AAAATCGATATCTTCACCTATCATTACCTTGCCAATGACTCAAAGATCTGGCGTCCGTGAGTCAATGCAGGAATGACTCAGTCAAATGGCATCGATGACTCCTTATTCGGAATATAGAAGATGTAGAAGGCTTTTTGGTCACTTTACTTCTTTGGCTTATGAGGAACTTATGCCTTAAAAATCTTCGACATTTTCTGCCTAAGAATCTAGTTCTGTTCCACTACGGGATATTTTGTAAGCAGGTGGTAGTATGGAAGCATTTCTTGTGATAAAATTACTGTTACTTTGTTATATTATTTCCAAACATATAAAACTTAAAATTCGATTGTACTTTTTTTATTAAAAAAGAAGTTTTTTTCTTCTAGTTTTTTTTTTTTTTTAACTCCAGTTTGCAAACTTAACCTATTCAAGAAATTCAGATTACTCAAAAATTAATATTCAAATATAACCCATTTTTTACTTTTCTACCTATACTAGGTAAGAAAAGTATTGCAATCTGGTCAAATTTCCGATATGCGCTTTTTGACAGATCTATACGTTTCAGAGCCCTCTGAGTTCGAAAAACACAATTTTAACCATTGGTCTGTCTGTTTGTGCGTGCCAAGATTTTCTCGAGAACTAGTGAACCGATTTTGTTGCTTCTTTTTTTATTTTGTAGGATTTTGACTACTGATGCCTGTGACACAAATTGGATGCTCTATGCGCAATAGCTGCTGCGCAATAAATGTAAAACATGTTTTTCTATAGACTGTAGCGCGAAAACGGCTCTAACGATTTTGATGAAACTTTCCTATAATGTTCTAATAATTGTCCTTTCAATTTTCGTATATGGACTAAATTCCCGAGAAAATTCAGGAAAAAAAGTTATAAAGAAAAGAAAAATGTTTTGGGGCCTAACTCTAAGTATATATTCTATGGTAAAATTTATAATAAAACTTTTGAAAGGTAATTAAATTACCAACAAAAAAATCATCGGAATCGAACCAGTATTAGCGATGATACGCTATTCTATTATACATTTGCCTGTTTTTTTTGAAATTCCTACAAAACTATAAAAATCGTTCATTTTGGACAACTATTAACGAAGTTACAGCTATTCAATTTCCAATGTAAGATTACGGAGTTCATATCCTGGTGTCAGAAAGGGTGAATGAGAGAAAAAAGATGACTAAGTGAAAGTAAGAAAATCTGTTGCCCGCATCACACAAGCTTCACTATTTCCTCTACTTTTAACAGAAATTATTGTTTGACAAAATTAAGCTATGGCAAAAAGTTTTTGATCAGCAATATTAGAGGGTATTGAAATTTTTACACTGATCTACCTTAAGTCGGTTTACATTGCTATAGTTTATCAAATAAATCGTACTCAATTCTTCGATCAATTTTCAGGAAAATAAATCTAATTCAATTTTTTTTGTTGCTTGATGAATATATGTAAAGATATAAAAACTTTTCTAAAATAGGTAGGAAAGTCGTGTGAGTGGACTCACCACTAGATCAATATGATTGTTCAGTGTTGACAAGTCAGTAGTTATAATTAGAGTTATTTATAAGTTTCTAAACTCAGCTCTAATTCCATCGATGAAATCCATTAATCGACTGAATATAGCAGCGATGCGTTTAACGCCGAGCTTAAAGAAGACCTTATGTATAAAATCGGAAAGTTAGTTAGTATCCACCTACTGAATTGTTGAATTTAAAAACAGTTATAAATAGAAAAATCCAAACAACGAAGCCATGTATCTCCAACATATAGGTGTATTGTTAACTTGGGAATTAAATTTACTATCCACCTGTATGTTAGGGACTTATGGCTTCGTAATTTGGATTATCCATTTATAAAATACCGTAAAATGGGTTTTTTTGGAAAAGCCGGTAAAATTTAGTTTGTGCTGAATCCATGGTGGATACACTGTGTTGGTTCATTCAGCAAAAACGTGCTATGTATAGCCATATACTGCGCTATTATCGGTACTTAATTACTGGTCTCTTTTCTAGCTTTATACTTATTTTAGTAATTTAAGAACAGTAATAAATATTATAATAAAAATAACATTAATAAATATAAAGATGCCTATATATATGTAAAGAAAATTAAGAAATAATTCTGAAAAAATTAAAATGAGATTACATCGACCCTAATTGCCGATAGAACCGATAAGCCACCGTTAAGTATAGAGACGGATAGATTTACGAATCATCAAATTTAGAAACTATCCCATTGCTTTCATCTCTAAAAACATAGCCATCGCAGAATACTGTTATTTTGTATATCGTGTTTGTTACGTTATATCGTATTATAACTTTATTAATAATATAAAAATATTTTTTTTTTTGCTTGTTCACTACTTACAACGTTCTTGGGGATACAAATTTGATATATTTTATTATTCTCCTTCTATAGTTGTGTCTAAAAAACAGCCAGATAGAATTAGAGTACTATTTTATTATATTTCTCCATTAGTTCTTTGTCCATATATATATATATATATATATAAAACATTCTTTAATTATCTTTTATCATAAAGTACGTTCATGTCTCTTAGATAAACACTGATAAGAATTTCTTTACTATCTGAGATCTTAAAGCGTTCTATTCTATTACTGATAAAGATATCCAATATCAGTGTAGTGATAAACTGTAGGGTGATTGTGTTTTTTTTTTTTTTATCTATTGTAGAATATGTTTTAAATATTAAGTTTTTTCTTAGTTTTTCAATACATATTTAAATGTGGAAAATAATGCTTTGGAGTTATAACATTTAAAAAAATTAAAAAACAGTTGTTTGATACAACGTATACTTATTTTCTAAGTCCTGCATTACTATATATTTTCATAACTTCATCTTAAACATTTCTCAGTTGAAAACTGATTGTATTGCATTAACAATGAATTTTAAAAAAAGCCAAGAAACTTGTTTAAGGAAAAAATTGTTAAATTGAGGTTTCTCCTGACGTCTATTGCCTATATTTAGATTTTTTGTCGTCAATAGCAACGTCTTGTACGTTATGAGAATTGTGGATTCCACTTTCACCGTTAAGTGACCAGGTGAAATCTATTTTTATTTACTTTGGAATGTATATTTCTCCGAAGTTATTAGTTCCCAAAATGTACAATACTAAGCTTTTCATTAGTCATTAATAATTCGGTTTTTAAATATAGAATTATCCAAGATTATCAATATGCTGTTTTATATTTAAAAAATAATAAAATATGAAATATATCGTAATTATAATAGTTGTTTTAAAAGTAATCTTCATGAATGCTCGTTTAAGCAGAAGGTCTGAGCAATGAAACGTCTTCAAGTGTTGATTTTCATCTTAACAGCAGATCCAACAGTCTTGCTTACGTTGTCAAACCATTGTACTTCAACAGTTGTTCTCAAGCTACAATAAATTAGTTTTTTCTTCTACCATATTTTAATTTGTTAACATTATCAAATGTTAACTTTGAATAATGTTTATATTGTTTTTTTGTGGAAGGAGATAATTGTTTTTATTTATTATTTGCAATAATGAGCCATTGTAATATACCAAAAACTTAAATAACCCCTCAAAATTTAAGATTTTACGTTAAAAAGTTTGTAGAACTCGAGAATCGGATAAAAAAAATTTTGTCTGGACCGATTTTTTTTTCAAATTTTGAATCAAAGTCAGAGGTCACCCGAGAATGATTCTCCTACCTCGATATTATTAACCGCAGTTTCGTATTATATAAACTGTAGCGCCTAAACGAATGTACCGATTTCAATGAAACTTGGCTAAAGTCTTCTCGATGTCCGTTAAATATATGTTTTTCAACGAAAAGTAAATGGAAAAAAGTTACGATGGGTTCTAAAGTTAGATTTTTGGAAATAATAAACCATTGTGTTATAATTTGAAAGGTATTTATTCTATGTTATGAAAACATACAACTGTTCTATTAATTGTGACCACTAGAGGATCCAAGATTTAATTTGGGGAGGCTTCAGCCCGAAAGCTTTTTTTTTCCATATTTATTTAACGATAATTAATTTGAAAAAAAATTAATTAATTAATTGATGGTGTTAAGTGGTTCTTGAAGTCCTATTAAATGTATTAAACACGAACAAGAATACTTTAAGAGATAGTTTTTAATTTTTTTTTTTTTTGTAAAATATGGTTATATTTTACCATTTTGGGGGAGCTTCAACCCGAAAGGCCCCCTTCCCTTAGATTCGCCTGTGATTGTGAAAATTTTCATTGTATATTAATGCCAATTTTTTTTTTTTTTTCTCTAGTAAACCCTTAATCATTAGTTTAAAGAATTGTTTTAAATAAAATTATCATGTTCCCTAATTTTTTTTAAAGATTTAAATAGTTTTATATTTATTTCAACATCGTGAAACCAATATAAGTTGGTTTGTTTTTGCTACTCATTGCTTTTTTTTTTAAATATAAATTAAATATTATTATTTATTTTTGCCTTCTTATTTCTGACTAGCGGATCCAGAATTTAATTTTGGGGGAGCTTCAACCCGAAATATTTTTTTTTTTCATTAATCTTCATAAAAATAATTTGAAAAAAAAAAGAAATAAATTAACTATATGAAATGGTGTTTAAGTGGTTCCTAAAGTCTTATTAAATGTAATTAAACGAACAAGAACATGGTTATATATTTTACCATTTTCTCCCGTTGTGATTGTGACGATTTTCATTGTTTATTAATGCTAAATCTTTTTTTTTTTCTTTAGTTAACCGTTAATCATTAGTTTAAAAAGTTATTTTAAATAAAATTGTCATGTTTCCTAATTTTTTTATTGAGATTTAAATAGTTTTATATTTATTTTATCCTCGTGAAAGCAGTATAAGTTGCGTTGTTTTTGCAACTCATTGATTTTATTTTTTTTTTAGCTTAATTATAAAAATCTTATTGTAGTTTAATTAAAATAGATTAAAAAAAAAATGTTGGTTTGAACTTTGAAATAAGAATGATTCATTCCTGATTGCTTATCAATAATGAATAAGGGAAAAAATATGACTCGATCTTAGAAAGAGAGCCGGGCGACCACGTGGTCTGTTTCACACGTCACATTGTTATCCATTTGTGTGTTTTATATAAGAGACTCAAGGAGTTGTAGTTTATTAGTTTTGTGATAAATATTCGTTTTATAGCTTGTAATTACAGTAATAAAGTGTTACAATGACAATTAGCCCTTGAGAGAATAAGGAGGGTAATTTTGTTGCGGTAGTAGGGGGATGGCAACACTGGGCCCCGAGTCGGGGGAGAGAGCCAGTAGTGTCAGACCGAGCGCCTGGGCCTCCGCTTCGCCCCTTTCCTTTCTGTTTTTTCTCATCACATTTTCATAGAGTCACATCTTTCATCCTCAAATTTTTCTATAATAGACCGATATTAAAAATTGAAGGTCTCGGCAGCCCCGTACCCCCTCAACCCGCGATAACCGACCACCAGGATGCGAAAAGCGAAGGCCCAGACATAACCTTTACGGGTGACGCCCTTATTTTCCCATCACGCGAACAAAAACTAGTTTCGGACACGTAGAATTTTAATTATTTATTTATTTTTTATCATATTTTTAAACCCCCCCACACACATATTGAGTTTTTCACCGAACCATTTATGTCAATCTACACCCATTTCCTCATGTCCCAACGGAATTTCAACGGTCCTCGGCCAGGAAAGAAGAACTTTTTCAGGTTAGAAATGGGCTAAGTTATTATCATTTAAATTGTATCGATTGGTACTTGTTGATCTGTCAGTTGTGTGCACGTTATCGCCTATTCATGCTAACTCCATTCATGAAGTAAGTGGTTCATTTGTCATCCCCCTCAGTGATATGAATTTGAATTATTTCGATGTGTATTCTAATCAAAGTTTATCTACCATTAGTAGCGATGAATGTAATTATACGTGAGCAACAAGTGATCATGAGTAATAACGGTTTGATGTGGGATAGTGTGTGCCCTAGCGGCAGTGCGATAGACCGCATAGCGAAAAAATGTCTACGTCCTTGAGAGCAAGTGCCTTCTGTATAATAATTAGCTTCTACTTGGTTGCAATGAAGTGCTTGGACCAGTTCTCTACAATCCCTCTTTATATCTCTAACAGACCCCGACATCGTAAATCATTTCTCCTTTGTACAACGAAAGCTACATAAGGTTGATAATGGTTGTTTGATATGGAGCAAGGTTAACGAGGTCTGATCCCGCGTCCCGGTTGAATTTTCGAAAGCTTACATATTCAACTTAGCGGCTCATAATAAATGTTGATTTTCACGTTGCATATCCCCTATCTCATTTTTTTAATACATATCATTTAAAAACATTCAACAAAATGATTTATAAACATTTTTATACTAATAAACTACGTCAAGATGTATTTACTTGCATTACGTGTATTAATACGTCCAACCACCTGTTCCCCTCCAGGTGCATATTAAAATATTTCAATTGTAATTATATTTTATTTTTAAAAATAAAACAAATTGTAAAATTTAAATATTATTTCTTATTCCTAATCGTAAAATTATTTTTAATGTTCATAACATCAAGGCCACGTTGTACCTATTCTTCTCTCTTGTTGATATTGATGATTTAATATTTATAAAATTAAAATTATTCTTATAATAATGAGTGTTGATTTTTGGTTTTTTTAACGTGAGGGCTAAGACTTAAGATTTCACAACCGAAGCCCTCCAGTCCCCTCCCAATTATTTCTCCTCCTATGGAGTAGGGGAGAACCTTTTCAATGGCCCTTTTATTTAAAGACTGGTTTTGAAATTTCGGGACTGGCTAGGAACAGTTGTGTGGAGGTTCAACAGGCGGTCTACATGTTCATGTCCCATTGCTCATATGAGAAAGGCAAATCGGTAAGTTTATTTATTAGGTTTAGCATAATTCCCATTTTCGGAATCTATAAATTAAAAAAAAAATTTTTTTTGAAAACGTGGTGATATTCTAAAAACTCGAACTGGTTCCAGTATTTTCATTCATTTAGGTCCAAATGCTACACAATAATGGTGCTTAACAATTTTTTTTTCTTATTACGTTTTTCAACAAAAGCCATTGTTTTCTTTAAACAACAATGGTCACTCAGTTATAGAATTTTTATTTTTATCTGATGCCGGAAGTAATGCTATCAGCCATGACACGTCTATAACTGCTCTCCACAATTAAAAAAAAAAATTAATTTCTTATTTTATATTGAACTCACCTTAATATTGAAAAATAAAACAGAAAAATAAGTTTCTGAGAAGAATAGTTCATTAATTTTATCATTACAACGGCATTTTCATGTTTTAATAATAATTATATATTTAATTACATTAAACGGTTATTTTATTTTAAATAATATTATTTTATAATACTATCATTTCTAATATAATTATTAATTTTATTATATTCAGTATTGTTCTTAAATAATATCAATTATTCAAACTATTTTGTTTATAATGTTGGATGACCTGATATTTAGGACAGTTAACATTTTTAATTACTTTGTTGTTGATTATTCAAAAATATTCAAGTTAATTGTTCATTTTTAATTTTGTAGTCATGTTTCTTCTTATTTTTTTTAAAATGTTATAATATCAGTTTCAGTAAATGATTCATCTTCCTGCATTATATATTCTTTTTTGACCTAAGGATTCTAGATTAGTGATTTGCGATTGCTGTCATTTTTTTACATTGTTACTATAATTAACATAAGGATATAATTAGAATTAATTATTTTCATTATGTGGTTCTTTATTGGAGTGCAATATTTTGGTTTTAATGTGAGAAAGATATTTTGGAGAATGGATTCCCATTGTTTATGGTAAATTTACTGTTTGTAGGCAATACTTCAATAATTTTTTTAAGACTACACGAATTTTCTTTAAGTATTTAGTATTTTATGGCATAAATAACTTTTGTAAATAGTACTATTTTTTTAAAATTAATTATTTTATCTATTTCAAATTTTATTTCTGGAAGGAATTCATAACAAAAAAAAATCATTAGTTTTGTCACTTATGATTTAGTGAATTTTATATTGTTGTTTACCTGTATTTTTTGCATATTATTAATCTTGTGTTTTTTTTTTCTTTTTATAGTGGAGGTGGCACCCGATTGGTCGTTTCAGGGCTTCCACCTCACCTGAGGCCAGAAGACTTCGAACCACTCTTATCACAATACGGCCAAGTACATTCATGCGAGAAGGTTAACTCTCGAGATCCCCAAACAGCAACAATCATTGTCACATATGATACTCCCGATCAGGCACAACAGTTAGTATTTTTTACATTTTATTCCTTTATGTAATAATAATAATCATAATAACGATTGCTTTAGGGTAAATATACCAGTAATAGGCAATGTATTATTAACAGACTGTTTCGACATAACTTCTAGATAATGCGAATATAACTAGGTTTGCAGCTTACTTAGATGACAACTGAAACCATTCATCTGCAATTACCATTTATTAGTTTAGAACTGTGCAGAATTCAGTTTTATAATTTTTAATTATATAAAAAAAAACTTGTTTACCTCAAAACCTGGCCGTCAATTACTGATACAATATACACCTTTCATGATTTCTACGTTTTTCTATGAATAATTAACTAATTGTCTGTATTAAAAAAAAATTGATAAGACTAAATTAGCTATCAATTGATCTCATTTGCCAAAGTAAAGTTTTTATTCGTATTAATATTAGACAAATTCTTTATACCGGTAAATTTATTTTAAATGTTACATCTATCTCTTAATAAATATTAATTTGACCTCAAAACTATCCCATAAACCAATAGCTTTTTCAATTAATTATGAATATAATTGTGAAATATGAATTGTGTAAGTGTGAATTTTCTTTAATTAAAACCTTAAATCAATGGCACGATCCTATTATTTTAACCTGCGGCCAGAAATTGAGTTTTCCATACCAGATTTAGGTTTTTTATCCTTTGATTTTTTTAATTTCATTTAAAGGAATTTTTTAAGGGTAAACAAGTTTTTGGTTTATTTTATCTGTTGCTTTCATTTTTACCTGATAAGAAGGAACTATACATTAGAATATGGTTCTTCAAATATGGAATGTGCTAGTAATAAGATGTATCCTTCATTGTGACATCACGTCCATATATTCGAGTGTTAAGACTAAATTTAAATATTCAATTAATCAACTTTGGCCGGATTAAAATTTGTATGTTCCCAGGCCTGTTTTTTCTAGACTTCTTCATACTATCAGAAAAATTTTTCAAAGAAATAATCTATGATTGCATAAAACAATAAATTATTCAAAACGAAAATTAATTGAGACTTAACTTAGTTTTATTATTATTATTTTTTTTTTAAATGTGCTGTGGCAGTGTGTGTTCCTAATGAATTAATATGTTTGAATTTTGGTTGTCATCATTGATTTTATTTCATCTTTCAACTGTTAAACCTTATTTAAGTAATATCGTGTAGATTGAATTAAACAAATTTTAAAATGCTAATTGAACCTTTTTTAAATTTTAACTTTATCTTATTCTAAGATGTGTATTTTGATTAAAATTATAAAAAAGTATAACTATTTATTTATAACTCATTTTACTTATAATTAATTTTCTTATTTGTCATTTTCAGTGCCATAAGCGAACTCAACAATACAGAATATGAAGGATCATTCTTAAAAGTGGAGCTCCAAGGTAACCAGGAAAGGAGAGGTCCCGGCGGCGGTCGTGCGGGCGGCCGGGGACCTAGAGGGTTCGCGATGGGAGGCGGCGCCAGGCAGACGGACTTCCCTCTCAGGATCTTGGTGCAGTCTGACATGGTCGGAGCGATCATTGGTAGACAGGGTTCGACCATCCGCCAGATCACTCAGCAGTCAAGAGCGAGGTAATAATCTTTCTCTCGATAGCAGGAACCAAACCTTATCCTAGTTTATCCCATTATATATGAGCATATTTAATCATACTTTAAAATTATTATATACTATATAATATGAAAAAGTTAAATTTTCGAATTAACAAAAGTTTCATACTGCCGATCTCAATTTAATTTTAAACAAAGTTATTCGTCAATATTGTTATCTTCATAAATTATAACTTAGCTATGTTATTTCCATTACTGCATAAGAATAAGCATCTTCGCTAATCAGTAAATAATATTTTTGCAATCAAGTAAAAGAAAAAATCAATAAAGTTAGAATTGTCATCGTTTTATATCTCCCACTTATCTTTATTATATTCTAAACTAAAAAAAAAAAAAAATGGCATACTTTTATTATACTCTTAAGTTATTTTAAATCATTGAAAACGTGTTTTTATTTATTTTTAACAAAGTTATTCCTAAGTTTTTCGAATAGCATAAGCATAATGGTTTTAAAATGTTCAACAAATGTTTCTTCGGTTTATTTGTATCGTTATTAATTATTAATTTGATTTTTTTTTTAAATACAATTTTTTTCTGTTGCATTAGGGTGGATGTCCATCGCAAGGATAATGTTGGCTCGTTAGAGAAGGCTATCACAATTTATGGAAACCCAGAAAATTGTACGAATGCTTGCAAGAGGATCCTTGAAGTGATGAAACAAGAAGCAACGACAAACAATAAGGGGTATGAGCTAACCTCAATATAATTTCTTTTATTGTTATTAATTTATAGTTAACTAATATCATGAGAGATAGTTCTGTTAACTAATAAGTTATCCTCTAAAAGCACTTTCTTCGGTTTCTCAATACCATCGAAAGCCGTCGAATGAGGAAAGATTAAATGTTATTATAGTGGCTTGTGTAATTATATTTACATATGTCAATCCGAGTAACAACAGCTGATATTATTAGAATAAATCGATAATATATTGTCAATATTTATTTAAAATATTACATTCTTAGTTATACTTCAAAAAATTAATATTTCAAATATCTACTTTGTTCTTTAATTAAAACTTTATAATTTTATTTTTATTTCTTATTAGTCAGTATACGATCCTACTAATAATTGTTATTGTTACGATAATAAATTGTAATAAAAATTGATTTTTTAATTTTATTTGGTTATTGTTTTTACAGTGAAATTACTTTAAAAGTTTTGGCCCATAATAACTTGATTGGTCGTATCATTGGCAAGGCTGGAAACACCATTAAGAGGATCATGCAAGAGACTGATACAAAGATCACAGTTTCAAGGTATTATATTTTTTAAATTATAAATATTATTATTTTTATTCTAAATGATTTCATTAATTAACTTATATTATTATTATTTTTAGCATAAATGACATTAACAGCTTTAATTTGGAACGGATCATCACTGTTAAAGGATCTATTGAAAATATGTCTAAAGCAGAATCTATGATCTCAGCTAAATTGAGGCAAAGTTATGAAAATGATCTTCAAGCAATGGCAGTAAGTGTCGTGACCGTTACATATTCCGAATTTTAATTCTAAAACCAGCCAAGTTTAGTTTAGTCAAGTCTGAACTTCTATCCCTTTCACTGAAACGAATCTCCAATCCTAGCCACTTCTTCACCTCTCTTGTTACATTTTTATGGGACTGGTGGAGAGAATAGGTCCTAGTGGTTTTCTCCCTGTATTAACCATAGTGGAAGTGCTAAGATTCATTTCTCAGTACTGCTAAAGAATAAGTAGTAACTAACCCATTTAAGAATCAAACCCCTAACATTTCAAACACTCTCCGTCCAGAGATGGGCAAATGCTATTCTGAGTACTGAGTAACAAGTATTTTACTCTTATACTGATCTTTTTTGAGTTTCAAAACATTTAATTACTACTTCAGTTGATGTCAAACGATTTAACTGAAGTAGTGATTGAATTTCCAGCACTGATTCAATTTTAATAAAATACTTGATGCTCGGTACTCAGATTACCGACTACGTGCACAGCTATCATTTCTTTTTTATTTTGGAAACTTCCTTCTTTTCCAATTGTGCTAAGTTTTTTTATTATCCCCCTTTCAGAATGGTATTCTCTATGGGAATTTTAGTATTAAGAAATAATATTGTATTATTTATCTTATGAGCGATTGTTTTGTTGTTCATCCTCTAAAAGCACTTTCTTCGGTTTATCAATACCATTGAAAGCCGTCGAATGAGGAAAGATTAAATGTTATTTATGTGGCTTGTGTAATTATATTTACTTAAGTCAATCCAAGTAACGACAACAGATTTAATTAGCTTATTAGTTGTTACGTTTAATTATTAAATTAATTTTAGTCAAATTTAATTTCTGCTTTATTCCCTATATGAAACTTCATTGTTTGATTAAATTTTAATTCTAATCTTTAATAAATAATATCATAAACTTTCTAACAATTCGGAACATGTGGGAGAATGTATTTTTCTAAAAATTATTAAATTTCCTTGGCTGGCATACATTGGAGAGTACGTTTCTTCCAAAAAAAAAAAATAAATTAGCAATATTTGTTTATTAGTCACACTTACTAGAAGGAAAAGGCTTCTTTTGTAAGGTATATTGTTATCTATGTAAGGTATATTGTATATCTATGTATATTGTTCCTATTCAGTTCTAAACAATGTTTTTTAAACATTCTCTTACCGGAATATGTTGTATGTAGTAAGGGAAAGTATTACGAAACTTAAAAATTTATAAACTTGAGTTTTTAACGGAAGTATATGTTTTGATGTACAACCAAGTCCCACAAAATAGGCTGTGTGTATGTATGTCAACAGGCTAAGTCAAAAACAAAATTCCTCCAAAAATTGGTTGTTTTTTAATATAATGTAGGTTTTATTCTCATTGATATCCTCTAAAGGGCCTTAAATGTCCAATTTTCAAAATTTCTACCTTTTAAGTACCTTTAAATTTTTTTTTTATTTAAAATAATTCACCATTTCTCTTTGTAATCCTTATATAAAAAATTGTTATATATTAAATATGAAAGAATTTGATAATTAACTGAAGGAGAAGTAAAGGATCGGAATAGACAGCCAAAGAAACCTGAGCTTTTGGCCGAAAGGCTTAAAAAGGCTTACAAATGTATCATGTGGCTAGTATTATGTTACCTCCTATAATATAATAAATATGTATTATTAAGTTTAAAATTTGATGATATTAATCATATTAAATAATATTTTAAATAAGTTTATTAATTTATTTTTTTCTAACTCCTACAGCCTCAGAGTATGATGTTCCCTGGACTACACCCGATGGCCATGATGGCAACTTCTGCAATGGGTTATGGTGGGCGAGGTGGAGGCTACCAAGGCGGCCTCTATTCCGGAGCCTACCCTCCTGTCTACCAGCCCATTCCACCCGCCTCCCATGCTCCCGATGCGCAGGTATATTTCTACCTTAAGACGAGCGATGAATAATATATTAAACCTTATTAATAATACTGTGATATATGTCAAAACTCTATATTTCTAACACGAAGATTCCTTGAACAAAAAAAAAATAAAAAAATAAATATATGATAAAATATATGATAATATGGCAAAAGCGCTCACTAGATTTTACCAATTTTGAATTTAAATCACTGAAATATCTTCATTTTTGGAGCCATTATTTTTTTTTAATATAAATTTTAGAAGGAAGCTAGTTGATTGTTCTACATATCATGGGTGATATATATTCAGGATGAAGTCTTTTAAAAAAAACAAATATTTTTTATTTGGGCCGTTTAACCCAAACATGTGGGTCATCTTCATAGGAGTGGTTCGAACACTGAATGCTTTCAAGTACTGATGTACGTCTGCATCAATTAAAACTTTATAATAATGACTGCGTCCTGAATATTTGTCACCCATTTTATAAATTTTACTGTTACAATTATGTTTTAAATGTTATCTTTAAAGCGCGAATTACAATAACATCAATTTTTATCAGATTAATTCTCCGATTTAGGTAATACATTGTAAGAATGGGATATTGAAAGCCCAATATCATTATTGGACTTGAAATATCGATACTATTAAAAGTCGATATTAAAAACATTTTTGATAAACCATTAATTTCGAAATATGAATATAAAAATTACGTGTGATAAATAGTCAGGACGTAGTCGTTTTTTAATGTTTTTATTGGTGCCGACGTTTCAACACAATCATGTGGGTCATCATCAGGGCGTGGTTTGAGAATTGAAGGTGTTCATATACTGTATACTGAGTATTTTAACACCTTCAGAGCTCGAAACATTCCCTGATGATGACCCACATGCTTGGGTTAAAATGTCGGCACCAATAAAAACATTAAAAATGACTGCGTCCTGACTATCACCCATGATATGTTGAACAGTTGACTTAACTTCCTTCAACAGTATAAATATTGATTCTCTTTACGAATGGGCGCATCAAAAATTATGTAATTTTTCACTTTAAATTCATTAATTGAAATATCAATTCTTCTATCCTCCTTTGTATAATTAATTTCTTGTTTCCTGTCCAACTTTGTCGCCCTCAGTTTTTTTTCCCCTAAATTTCCATTCAACAAATAATGCCTTCCATTCATCCATAGATTGGATTCAGCTAGTCTACTTCACATGAGAAAAGGCAAGATGAGTGTAATTATATTCCTAACGATCAGATTCATATACATTCCTTAGAATTTTCTAAAAAAGATTGTTTTAATTTAATTTTTTAGAATAAAATGTAGGGATGATATTGATAGTTAATAATATCAAAGTAAATAAGTAGACGCCATCGATGGTAAAATATCAAATATTGATATTTAAATATTATCGACTATCCATGACCATCTCTAATACACGATTGGCCCTGCCTTTAGGGGTAATTGTGTAAGATGCAGATACAATTCTGATGGCGAGGTACATGGAGGATTATTCAAGTAGCAGAAGTTGTCTGCATTTAGATTGTCAAATATGTTAAATAAAATGTAGTGAGAATTTCTCACATGAGCTATCCTTGTCCATAATGCATAAGCGACATCAGTGTTTATTCATTTAAATAATATTATATTACCTACATAACATATTCAACTTCAATCTTAACTAGTTGAATCACAGAATACGCTGAGGAAATTATCAGGGATTACCAATGCGGATTTAGACGGAATCATTCAACTATTGATCAAACATTTTCTTTTCAGCAAATATTGGAGAAAAAATTAGAAAAAAAAAAAAATACAACAGTGTTGTTCACCAGCTGTATATCAATTTCAAAAAGGCTTACGATTTATGTAGGGGAATAATGTATTAAAAAAATATCTAATGATTTAGAGATGGTTGACCGTGATATAATATGAGGAGTTGGTCGGGAGTGTGGTCAAATAAATACTAAATTTTAAAATAGTATTTTAATCGTTACGCCAACATTTCTACCCGCTTTGTAGCTCTTCATCAGGAATGCAGGAAGCGGTTGATAGCCTGGCAGTCAAAATTGGTCTATTGGACTGGCAGTCGTTCTTCTAAGTTTCTTTTTATATTATCCAAAGTGTCCAAAGAAATCATAGAGTTATCCGGTATGAAATTGTAAAGAGTTTTTCTCCCAATTTTTTTAATCACTTTATTTTCATTTTAGTAAGGTTTGAGAAATTTTCATCTATCAATTCTCCACGAAATTCGCTTTCATTTGATACCTCTTTCCTCAAAATACTTCATTCCATCCAATTTTATTTGATATACAAAATATTTTTATCTACTAAAAATAGAAGGTTCTCCTTATATAGAGAAATATAGAGATTTGACTGTTAATTATTTGTCACAGTAATAAAACCTGTGGTTTAATAAGACCACTGTTTAAGAAATGAAAACTTTTATATTATGTATTTGAATTTTAAAGTTTATTAATTATTTCTAATAAATTTTTTTGTTATTATTCGTATCAATTAATACATATTAATAAGTTTTAAAGTTACCATTGTTAGTCAACAAATATTATATATTAATAGCCTTAATTAAGTTTTATTTTTAATATAAATAGCTTGCTACAGTTTTTATTGATAAACATTTTCTCTTTTTTTCCTTCTTATTAAAATTTTCCCCTGTTGTTTACTAAAAATGTTGAAGAAGGAAGTTTATCAACTGTTCTAGATACCATGGGTGATAAAAATTGAGGACGCAGTCATTATAAAGTTTTTATTAGTGCCGACGTTTTAACCCATCGATCATGATCAGAGTGTGTTTCGTGTACTGAAGTATTGAGTACTTGAATACCTTCAGTGCTCGAAACACACCCTGCTGATGACCCACATGTTTGGGTTGAAACGTTGGCATCGATAAAAATTTTATAATGACTGCGTCCTCAATATTTATAATCCATAAAAAAGTTAAAATTTTGTATAGTCCACGAGTAAATGTTTGTCAAATGCTGTAATGAGACTTTTCAGTTCTTTATCATTTAACTGTCTTAAATTTAATTTGTATTTAATATTATGATTATTTATTATTATTGTTATTAATTTTTTTCTAATCTGAAAAGAATTTTTTTCATTTTTGGATTATCAACTGTACTTGAAAATTTAGTAGTTTTTTTCTTTTCAGATAAAAAAATCGTCATATAGTAAGGTTGGCGAAGAAAACAAAGACATTACAATCCAAGTAAGGTTCATTTAGTTAATTTATTTATTTAAATATTTAATAAATTAACCGAAGTTTAAAAAACAACTCAACTATATGTTTATGTACCTTACTCGGATTATAAAGTCTTTAGTTTAATTTTTGTTTTATCTTTCGTTAGAAAATCATCAATATTAATTCAGTTCATTAATGCTATAATGTGTTCTAAAGGGACAACAGTCCCAAAATAATAAAAAATATTTTCATTTCATTTCATATTAGGAATCGGATTTTTTATTTCCATGTTTACCATAATGTGACTTTTATGTACGTGTTTCCTTGGTACATTTCGTGATATTTCAAAACATTTTAAACTTCTTTTTTTTTTTTAGTTGAAATTTTGTGTATCAGAAAAAATAAACAATATGTAAATAAAAAATTCTATTACGGATGGTTCTCAATTATTTCTTTACAAAAGTCTTAAATAAACATCTATTTTTATAAAAGTCAATTTCTATTTAATTCTGTACTTTTTATCGAAAATTTTACCGACTATATATATATGTTAATGGGTTTTCCGAATGTAATAGCTCAAATTTAATTCCCGAGTTTTGTAATATTTGTCTTGTAAAATAGCTAATTTAACAGCATAACAATCTTTAATATAAAATAAAATAAAAAATCAATTTATCATTAAAAGTGAACATAATTTTTTTTATTATTAAAATGTTTTAGTAATTTGAACATTTAATTTGAAATATCTCTTTATTTTTATTTTACGTTTATGTGAAAATTAACACGTTTACAGTTTTTAATCATATAGAAATCCTATACTTAGCTATAATAGTCTTTATGACTGAAGGAATAAAATCCTTGAAGGATTCATTCATGAAATCTCAAATGATTCATTAATGAGCCTTTGCCTATTGAATAGTTTTTAATATTTAGTTGATAGTACATTATCTCTTTTCATCCACTCGTTGCTGTTTATACGGTAATGAGTCAGCATAAAAGAGTAGATCAAGTAACTGAAGGATCTATATGGCTGTGTCAATGTTTTAAATGTGATTCAGTCAGATCTGTTCTGTGACATTCATTTATTTTAATTATTTTTCTATTATACAGTTAACTATATCCAAGTCCAAAATAATAATTATTTTACTACATCACATCAGTATTTTATAGCAATAAACTAACCTTAATTAATTAATTTATAATTAGATATTAATATTAAATATTTATAGTTCAATGTTTCTATATATTTATTTTTATTTTAAAGGAAACCACATACCTGTACATCCCAAATAACGCAGTCGGAGCCATCATAGGAACGAAAGGCTCGCACATAAGAAATATGATCCGATTTTCCGGAGCCTCGGTGAAGATCGCCCCCCTCGAGGGTGAGAAGGCCAGTGATGCTGCACAACCGGCCGAGAGGAAGGTTACCATCGTGGGATCACCCGAGTCTCAATGGAAGGTATTGCATTCTGTCTCTTCATTTACATTGTCGTTCATTCCAAATTGTATTACAAGATTTAGTTACAAAAAGAAATTTAAATTTTAAAAAATCATTTAATATGATCTAAATTTTCATCAGCTGTATTAAAGTAAATCCTTGTTTATTTTTAATCCTTCATCTAATTACTAAAACATATATATATATTCTATGATTGTTCTAATTTTTGTTTATTGTTCTTTTACAGGCGCAATATCTCATCTTTGAGAAAATGCGCGAGGAAGGGTTTGTATCTGGATCTGATGATGTTCGGTTGACTGTCGAAATACTCGTTCCATCATCACAAGTTGGACGAATCATCGGCAAAGGTGGCCAGAATGTGAGGGAGCTACAAAGAGTGACAGGCAGCGTGATTAAACTGCCAGAACAAGGTTCCTCGGGAGCGCAAGAAGAGGAGACCACTGTTCACATTATAGGAGCCTTCTTCTCAGTCCAAGTGAGTATTTCATCTCATGTCTTAGCTTAAGTATTAAGATTTTTTTTTTTGTCTGGGAGTCTGTCAGAAAGCATCAAATAAATGCGGATTATTTATGCAAGGTCGACTTTAGATCCATATTGATGGTCTTCATCAAGGCTGATAAGAAAGATACAAAGAAGATGAAACTGTTGTAGAAGAAAAAAAATTAATCATAGAATTACTGAGTTGGAAATTAATAATTGACAGAAGAAATAAGAATAGTTATCTTATGAAATATTATTTTAATCATTCCTTTATTGGAGAAGTCACATTGCCTCCATTGTGGTGGCAATTATATACTGGCTAAACGATCTGTTAAGCAGACGCTACACAGTCAGTCGGAATGATATTCTGAGTGATGGTGTAAGGTTAACATCGATGTACTGATAAACGTGAGTGACCGATTTTTAGAAATCAAGAAATCAAATCTTTGATCTCAAAAAGTGGAGGGGAGACGAGGGTAAAAGTGGTGCTTTAGTTAACTATCTAGTAATAAACTAAACCACCACCAAGTTTGGTAACTACTAGTATGTTAGTTTACCTTTGGCCTCATAACTGTTGTACATTCCTGATTTTTATTTAATATGAATAGTTTTTCTTATCTCTAGTTTATATTTTTATAAACGATCTTCAGCAGCAGATGTCTGAAGGAGATAGTCCCTCCACTGCTCTAGTGGACTGTGGGCCAAGTTCTCGCATTCCTGTATGTATCTAATTCCTGTATGTTTGCTGATCTCCAGATCAAAAACGCCCCAATTCCGAGAATTTCCATAAATAAAATAGTTGTAGGTTACGATAAGTTAAAGCTATTCAAGAAGTTTCAGGCAATGTTAATAATTTGATAAAAATGGGTCTGTACCAGAGACTCTAGTTTCACTTGCATTGTTTCAGTTGTTAGCCCTTTTTCATCTCTGGCAATTTATGTATACTTATTTTATATATGTATAGTTTTCTTGCTGTTTTTCATTCGGATCCCATTTTCTCATCTTCTGAATCTTTACCATGGCTTTCAAACCTACGGAGACAGCTTCACGTTTCATATTCAATTGATCCGCGATTTGCTGGGTTTGAGCATCATCTTTATCCAACAATGCTAGTGATTCACTGTCTTCAAACTTATTCGTTGGTCTTCCACATTCTTAATTTCTCACATCAAACGCACAACTTTTGAATTATTTAAACCAATCGTAGCTCTTAACAGCATGCTGAACTGTTGCCTGGAAATCTTTTCCAGCTGTTTAAGAAACGAAATGATGCCAATAATATTGATGTATTTGGTTCGCATCCACACAACCTTACATTAATTGTAGTACTGTCATTGAATACATGTCTCATTTCGTCGACTTGAGGCCTCTATGAGGAGGAGTTTATATTATTTATCGATGGTGTTTTTGATCGGCAAGCCATATCATCGTCAATTTCTCACCAAATCTCAAGATTGAGCCACCAATTTCGAAGGCTTCCTTCTCTTTCAGGCGGACAAAATAGTCCAATCATCCCGAAAATTCAGATGATAATACAAAAGATTACTAAATTTCCTACAAAATGAAAAAAAAAAAAAAAATCATTGAAATCGGACAATTTTTAGCAAAGATACAGCTTACTGAAATTTGTAAACATGTTGGTTCCAAACAAAAATGAAGATTTAAATTAATTTTTGTTTTCCTTGTCGTTTATATTTATCGATAAAGTAACATTTGATTTCTTAATCTTTTGATAGGTTGCATTATTTTCTTTTCTTATTAATCTGGCATTTGATGACAATATGCTGTGCGAATTTTTCGCACGGGCCTACTAGTTCCTATATATTCCTTCTCACACAGTATCAACTAAAGGAGTAAATACAGGGGGCTATCTACTACATAAGTGATAATTTTAACTAACTTTTCTTTGGTAAAGCCTACTCCATTATAACTTTTCCCTGCGGGAGAGGCTTTTTTTTTTTTTTTTTTTTTTTAAACCGATCGATGCTAATAAGAATTATTATTGTTTCAGTCTGCCCAGAGGAGAATCCGCGCAATGGTCGGTACCGGCGCGGGAGGCCCACGGCCGCCAGCACCCGGTGGCCCCCGCCCAGGGCCGCAGCCACAGCAGTAAGCAGCGGGGAGCGTCCAAGAGAGGAGCCAAGCCAAAGACATGTAGGGGGCCTCCATCAACCTCGAGAAAAATTATCTACCTCCTTACCTTTAGGGTCTTAAAAAAATTATATATTTAAAAAAAAAAGAAAACGATTTTAATAATAATTATTAATGATAATGATTGCTATATATATTATATTATATACGAATATTTAAGGGATATAAAAAAAATTAATTAAAAAAAAGTGTAGTTCTCGAAAGAGATTCGAATAGGGCAAAGTGAGCGTGGGGGGAAGTGTTTAGCCAACGCCTGCCCTATCGGTAAATCAAATTTATTTTTGATACATTGTTATCTTCGAGCGTCGATTGTGACTCCTATCGGTTTCTTTTGTTTTTTGTTTGTTGAATTTTTTGATAAATTTTTAAAATTTAAAAAAAAAATTTGACTCATCTTTTTTTTTTTAAATTTTATATATATTATTATTATTATTTCTTTATTTCTATGAAATCTTTTTTTGTTTTCTTTTTCCCGTTGATGGGAAAAAAACATTAGTGATTGTAAATTTTTTAAAATGAAAAAAAATTTTTTTAAAAAAAAAAGAGAGAGAATTTTTTAAAAAATTTTATTAAATTTATATTGAGAGAGAAAGACGTAATTTTTTATGACTTTTTTAAATATAATAAATAAAAAAAAATTTGTGTGGCGCGTAGTGTTTTTAGCTGCGTTGGAAACAAGGAGAGTCATTATTAGCAATTTCTTATACCTGTGTGTACGTACCTTTACATATAACATCAAGTACAATCAGAATAATTTATAAAAGTTTTGTATGTATCATTGCGTACACATTTGTATAATATATAAATGCAATAGCTCCACCATCTAATACATTTTGACTCCTCAACCAAAAACCGCTGAAAGCCTCATGGAAAATTAAATATTTAATTTAAATTATAAAAGTACTAAATTAATAAAACTTAATTAAACAAAAAAATTGTCTTGAATTTGCGATAAAAATTTAATATAAACGCTTTCGCGTAAAATAAAAACCCTCCCAATCGTAATTTATAAATTAATATAACCACTCTCTCAGTGAATAATACATTTTAAAACTTATATTTAAAAACATGGTGTACATCCTCCTATAATTGTAAATTCACAAAAATACAAAATTACAATTAGGTTATAAACACAATCACGTTGTCTACTTTTGTCTTCTTTTTTCGTTCTTTTTTATTTTTTATCTTTAAATATTAGTAAGTAGAAAATAAACCGACAGGAAAGAGTTAAAACAACAACTAAAAAACTACACTGAAAACAATTACAATTAATAATTGAAGTATCATTAAAATAATTTTTAAAACCCCCATAAACATTATAAAGTATATTACTAATATGCATTGCATTAGAAATGAAATGTATATACCAATTTAAACAAAACAAAAAAAAAAATTCTAAAAGAATGGCTGCTCCCGCCCTCAAAACCGAGGGACTTAGAAATATATATACACGACCAACCAGATAAATCGGGAAAGAAGAAACAAAAATGAGACACTTAGGCCTCCATATATAGTGCGCACTCACCAGAACTGGAGGAACACATCTAACTTGCATGCTCGTGACATTTGCATTGTTGATTACTACCGTTTAATTTTTTTAATTATTATTTTTATTATGAGATATATATAATATATATTTATGTATTGCTTCGCTCGCCGTGAGCGAAATTCTCAACAGACCAGGTCTTTTTTAAGCAAACGACCGTTCCGCCCGAATAATTGTTAATTGTTAATAATTAATTTTGTTACAAGTTGAACGAATACATAGTTGATCATTTAACAGACGTAAATAGAAGAAATATTTCATATAAGCTATTTTGTATACACTGTTTTTTTACATTGTATAATCTATATATATAATAATAGTTTTTTATATATTATTAATAAAGAACATAAAACGGGATAATAGCTCTATAATAGATTAAACTAACTAATAATATAAACAGACAATTCAGCTCAGGTTTCAGTAATTACTTACCTCAGGTTAGTTCGCAGGCCACAAACCAAAACGGAACGTCTTTTGCTATTTATTTCTATCAGCTAACTTTCGTTATAATTCTTACTTCAAACAAACGGGGCAGATTATAATTACTTATTTAGAAAAGAAAAAAAAAAAAATTTACTGATGAAAATTTTGTTTTCAAACAAAAGAAAGGGATAATATACGGCTGAGAAATAACAGATGGGACATTTTTGTAGATGCTGTTTTCTGAAATGAGAAATTTTGTCTTTTCAATCGATTACCTGGGTGATTAAATTTAAGGAATCGGACATCCAATTTTGCACGACCCTTAAAAATTCATACTCCCTTAAAATGCCTTAAATGAAAAGACGTTTTATAGAGGAAGCGAACCGCCACAAGCATCCCTCACAAACCTTCACATCCCATAACTATAGAATATATTTATTAATTATAATTACACTTTATTATAGATATAAATATATGTATATATACATACTTGTGTATGTATATTTATATATAAAAGCTTGCAAAACACTCAGGGCTATTGACTGACAAAGAAAACATTCTTCTTTTTTTTTTCTCCAATTAATTTTATTTACAGATACTAAGGATGTCGTTTTCATTTTCGCCAATATATATCAGATATACGATATACATATATATATTATGCAAAGATTAATATTTTTAGCAGATTGTTTTTCTGTTTCATTTTTTTTTTTTTTTTTTTAATATGATATGGATTGTTCCGATGTATGTTGCGTTTTGTAACGCACAGGAACCATTTATTTTGTTATTGTAACGAAGGGCATTCTACAGAAATATATTACATTTGAATTATTAATGTTGAGAACAAAAAGAATGTTATAGTTGCATGGATTCATTCTTTTCATTTTATTTTACAAAGTTTGTTGCTTATTTTTAAAGTAAGGTAGATCCTTTTGAAAGAGGAATATCAAGTTGATTCTTATTTTTCTTTTTATTAATAGTAAATATAAGTTTTTTTAAAAATATAAATATTATTCACATATTACTTTTTCAGTATAGGTATATTATATATTATGAGAAAAAAAAAACACTGAAAAAATGTGTGTTGATTTTGATGCAAACAATTATACATAACCATATTTACTGTATTGTTATGCTTAGGAAAATTAAAAAAAAAAAAAAATTGTCTATGCATTATTTTCATTGTATTTTCAAAAGGAAAAACTGTGGTGTATTTTCTTTTGTTTTGTATTAATAAATAGTGTTACTGTTTAAGGCTTTTGATATTTAGAAGTTTTTGTTTTTACTATTGGTTCTGGAGGAGCTTATATTGTCAAATAGAATTCTGCTCCGAAATTTTAGGGCATTCTCTATTTTCAATTGGATTATTATAATTTTTATTATATAGTTTACTTTTTGTCAGGTGAATAACAGTGTTTGATATATATATATATATATATATTATATGCGTAATTTAATTTTTTTTTTTTGTTTCATTATAATAGTACACTTTCTCTTGTAATTTTTTTATTAGGTCTCCGAATGACAGTAGGTTATAAAAATAATACATTTGAAAAGAGTTTAGGGACAGGTCACTTAAAATATTAGTACAAAGGATGTATATAAAACAAAAAAAAAAAACAAAAACCTAAAAAAAAAAAAGCTTTTGCCCATATGTTTATATAATATATATATATGTTACTATTTTATTTATTTTATTTTTTCTAAGTACAACCGTGCATTTTTCTGTTTTTAACATTGTTTGAGGGGAGGTCTTCGATCGGTGATCAGCCCGGTTATCAGTACACGCAGCGGGTGGGTAGTCGGCAAATATCATACCCACAAAATTATATTATTATTAGTGAAGGTGCCTTATATTGTAACTTAAACGGATCGGTGTTTTCGGCATTCTCTATGGTCACTTTGCCGACTACTCGCTGAGCCTGCGTACATCATAGCCTTTATTATCATTGTTAAAATAAGTTGAATTTTTGAGGTTTATATACAGTTGTTAGTTAATGTAATAGTAGCTATTTTAAGAATTGTACAAGACTGATAATCGTTTGTTCTTTATAATATGATTAACACATATGAATTGTTTTTCATTTTTATTTTTTAATATAAAACCGGGCATTTGATATAATGTTAATATTCACTGAGACCTCCTCTCCGTTTTCTGTTAAATAACATTTCCCTTATTATATATGGTGTATGCTTATTAGTTTTCTGTTCTTTTAAAGAGTATCTTTATTGAGTATCATGCAAAACGTTAATAATACAATAAACATTAATTTTCTTTAAAAATTAAAAAAAAAGTTTAATGTAAGGTTATGTAATAATAATAATAATAATAATGATAAAATAATAATATAATGGTTATTTGAAAAATATAAAAAAAACAGAATAATTGTGTGATGCAGATTTATTTTCTTTTGTGTGTGTCCGCTCTGGAGAAAATAGAATTAATTATTTAAATTTATGTATCGGAAAAAAGGAAAGATTTTTTAAAAATGGGGGAAAATTTGCAAACAAGACAATTTTTGAAATATGAATAAAAGAATAGTAATCAATTGTAAGGTGTGGTACTCCGCTTTGCAGTTTTTCTTCATTTTTTTGTTTTGTCCTTTTTTCAAACTAAAAAAATCTGTAATAATAATAATGATATTAATCGTAAAAAGCTTTTTTTTTGTTTTTCCATAAAAAAAGGGAAACAGTGTGTGTGAAGCAATTTTCCGTTTGGGAAGTGTTATAGCGTAGTTCGGGAATAAAAAAAACTGAGTTATCCAAAAATATGTATAATGAAGACCTTTTCTTTATTTCTTCCGTTAAGAAAAAGGCACGTGTAAAAAAAAAGTAAAAAAATAACCGTTGTTCGGTCCCTCCGTATAAAACAGGCGTTTAAAACTACACTATTAAATATAATGGAGGCGCACGCGGTATTAATAGTTTACATATGTACCGATTAAAACACGGTCTATTAAGGTATTGAGATAATCAGTTTTTTAATGTGATCACCGCCTGATGTTTTATGTTTATAATTCGTCAGGTGGTGGTCTGTGCAAGCATTGCAGTCTCCTTTTTCTACCATGGAAATAAATTATTCTAGTTAAAAGTGTTGTTTTTTTCAAACATACCTTTAATCAATTCCTAATCCTCTAACCTGTTATTTTATTAATAGACATAGATTTGGATGATAATGGCTTTAAAATAAGTTTTACTTGTGATTGTGTGACTTGAAATCCATACTGATTTGTAAATTTGTAAATGAAAGTTGTTTTTTTTCCAATATTTATAATTATTATGAATCAATTTATAAGAATCTAAAGCGAGCAATTTTAAAGCCACTGTTAATCAAAGTCTCGCCCAATTAGTGCGAGAGCTGTTGCCATAGTTATTTCACTCACAAGCGTAGATTGTAGTAACACTTAAAAAGAACAATGCCATCATTATCTAACAGGCCAGTATTATAAATCAATATTCCTTGACATTTCATGAAGGCCATGGTTTTCAACAAGCACACTAAATAAAGGCAATACAAAAATATAATTTAGATTAAAATATAATCACGGATTATGCAATAGTTATTATTAAGGCTTATATCTGAATATTGTTATTTACTGAACTTATTTAATTCTGAATGAAGGCCCCAGGAGTTTTCTTGTTCAAAATTACTGTGAGCCCATAATAACCATCATAAGAGAAATTTACCACAATATTGCCTGCTGTGTTAAACTAGGGTTAAGTGTCTAAAAAATTCAAGACCTTAATAGGACTTTTGCAGAGATGCTGCCTTTCGCTTACCCTTTTTAGATAAACTCAAAAATAGTAGATCTAATTAGCTAGGAATAATGCAGCGATACTTCTTCACTCATCTCAAGGTTTCCTTTAACTTCGAGAAAAATAAAACAAGGTATTGTTAAAATATATAACAATACAAGCAACAGTATAGGGTGAAATTGGCCTGGGACCAATTAGGTACCAATTTCTGAAAATTAAATAAAATTCAGTTTAAAGGCAGGTATTAAACTCTACACATAAAATCGTCTACAGGAAAATACAGAACCGAATTAGTACCTCATTGTCTACAACATAAAATTCGAATGGAAAGAAAAAAAAATGTTTCCATTCTATAGTGAAAAAAAGTAATAATAAAACATATTCTCACTCGATTACCCTGCCTATATTGAGGGAGTAAAGTAAACAGAAGGAATTTAATGATTTTTTTGTAAGTTCCTTTTTTTTCAGTGAAATTAAAATGTAGTTTATTAAAAATGATTTCACAACGATTATTAATTAAATTCAAAGGCTACCAATATAATGCTGAATCTCGACTTTTTTTTGTTTTTGTAAATGTTTTATTTGTACGGAAAACAGTTCTGTAGAATGGAAAAGATGAAATATATTGGAATTGATAAATAAAAATATATATTAACTATGAAGCTTATCGTTCATCCTGTGTCATATAGAGAGGACATCAATTATATGTTCAGAAAGGTTGTCGAGAGTTATGAAAAATGTGGTTGACTATTAACTTAATGAAAACAGAGCACCTTGGCATTTGATCTGATGACACGCCAATTGAAAGAGGTATAAAAACTGTTGAGAAATTTAAATGCCTAAGATCAATATTTAATAGAAGGCACATCCACCAATGATTTCGACAGAAGAATTGGTGAAGGAAGAAAGGTCACAGCACTACTCAACAGTATCCTTTGGAGCTGGAATATACAGCCCAGTACAAAGCTGTATTCCAGCCAATAATGACATGCCTCGGTGACATGGGTCATCAATGCAAGACACTGAAAAAGACAGCAGCAGAAATGGAATTTTGGAGAAAGGCAGCAAGAAAATCCAGAAGGAGACTCAAAAATGAAAAAATTATGGCAATGATGGAGATGGAAACAAATATTGTAAAGAAAAGGTTATGCTGGTTTGGACATGTGAAAAGAATGACGCCTAAAAGATTGCCAAACATATGTATGGAGCTGGAAGTTGAAGGAAAAAGGGAAGACCAAGGGTAAAATGGAAGGATTCATGTCAGAGAAGGATGGAAAAATATCTTAAAGGATATTTAGAAAAAGGATAAATCCGAGCCCTAGTTATTATAAAGGAAGGAGATGGTCCGGGGTTGCAGTCATAAATAGGCTAAATAGTGGTAGAACTATTTTATTGGAATCCGACGTTCCTAGTTATTATAGTGCTCAATATATAATTATACCCATTAAAATTTGAAAATATTTTAAATTCTCTACAAACAGAAAAATAGATCATGGAAATTGGACCATTATTGGCAAAGATAGTGCCTATTGTAAATTTGTACACATTTTGACTTATTATTTAGCTGAGAAGAAAATATTAATCTCTTCCTCCCATAATGTATTCCATATTATGTTGCCATATATTCACTTACCATTATACTGTGCGAATTTCAGGATTCATATTGTAATAGCATTATTTAATGAAGAAATATAAATCATGTCAAATAGATGAAAAGATACTTAATGAATAATGGTAATTAATAAAGCGTAATTTCCTACAGAATGAGCTAAAGAACATTGCTATGGTAACAAAATCTTGGCAGTTGGACTCTTGCCGATCTTTACATGTATAACACAAAATTTTAGCAGAATGGAAGGATTCTGTGTTTGACAGATTCTTTAACACAAAAGTTTCTTTCTGGGAAAAGAGATTACTAATGAATAATAATATCGTTAGTTTATTGCGAAAATTTATTTAGTGACATTTAATAACCTCAAATAATTAAGAACGTAGATGAATGTTCTCTGTGAAATCAGAAAATTGTGCACTTAGTATTCATTTTCATGCACTTATGTTGCTTTTATATGGATACATAAGGACGAAATTTCAAAAAACATTTTCAAAAGTGAATCTATATAAAAAATGCACATAGTGGCTTTTTGCAATAAACTGACGATATAATACATTAATAGCCAAGTACATGTACCTAATCAAAAATGGTATATTTAATTTTCCACTTATTAATTAAAATTTTCAAGTTAATTAATAAATGTTTACAGAATTTTTCCTTTGAACATTGTTATATGGGTTGCAGAAGCCGGTATCATTTTATGTTAACACCTAACTTTTCATGTTAAAATTCAAATTATATTAATCTGCAATCTAGAAATTATTGTTTATGAATTTTATCAAAAAATAAATAAGGTGCTAATATAAAAATTAGCTAAAAACAATGATAAAACAATTGTTTAAAAATTATGATGCCAGAGGGACAATTAAGTTTTAAAAAACTACGAAGTTTTTTGGCACTATGAAACAAAATTAAAATATTAATCTGCTGACTCACACCAAATGAATTTATTTAATTTATGATTGCATAAAGTAACAGGAAATTGTTTTTTAAATACTCACTTAAGAGAGAACATGGATGATATTATCACTTGAAGCCCATAGGTAATAATATTATATGAAGTAAGTGAGGATAAATTCTCAGAAAAATATTACAACACACATTAAATTATAGTCATTCAACAAATCTAGTTTTTACTATTTGTATCTGTAAGCAATGGTGTCATTTTATCTTTTAAAAAAGACAACTGAGTTAAAGTATTAATTACTTCTCTGATTATTATCATAGTGTCTGTGAAACCATCACATCCACATTTTATTTTTCTTCTGCCGTTGGCTTGACCGACCATTACTGATTTCTGGCCTCTAATAAATTCCGCCAATCTGCACGCTATTGGGCAACAGTACTGCAGTCCCTGACCCGCAGGATCGTACAGGCATCTTCTGCCACGTCATTCATTCTCTACACCTGGTAATATGAATGGCATGACTCATTATTTTTCTTGGGATCTCATCCTCTGACATTCATGCTACATGGCAGGCCCACCTCAATCTTCCCAGCTTTATATGCTTCACAATGTCAGGTTCACCAAGAAGGTTATATATTTCTTGATTACCCCTCCTGAGGTATGTTTGAACGACTCTTCTAGGTCCATAAATGCGGCACAGAATTATCTCAAAAGCCAATAAACTTTGCTCATCCTTCCGTGATATTACCCATGACTCCGAGCAATATGTCAGGACCAGCCAGATAAGCGTCTTATACAGCCATAATTTTGTTTTCCTTAAGAGATACTTGCTCGTTAAATGTCTTCTAGCCCAAAATAACATCGGTTAGCAATGACTTTTCTCTTCTCAATTTCATTTGTGATGTCATTTCCTGCAGTTTTCAGAGATCCCAGGTAGACTAACTCATCCACTTTTTCAAACTTATAGGAGCCAAACTGCACATTATCTTTTTATTTTTCAATGATCGATAAAAATTGACTGATTATTTATTGAATTAATTTGTAATTCACTATATTTAATATTAATATATTGATCATTAATAAGAAGTAACAACCCATTTTCCAAATATATATATAACTTTCTATTATACACCAATGATTCACTGAGCATTCATCTGAAATAGTTGATGATAAATTTAAACAAATCAAATAATAGAATAATTAGATCAGCTCATTTTCAATAATAATTAAAAGGTAGGTAAATAATGATGAAAGGTGAAGAATAACAATAAGGTATAATGATAAAAACGATATGTTTTTAAAAATTTATTTATATCAGTAAAAATGAGATCTTATAAATGTAAAAACATAAACAGTCTAAAAATAATTAATATAAAATGTAAAAATATATTACAACTTCACAGATTCAGTCATTTTGTCTTTATGAGTATTACTTACAAAGAATGTTTTTCTAAGAAAATAACTAGAAGTAGGTTGTTCTATCTATATGAAATAGTAAAATAATTTGTGTATAATGTCACTTTTATCAGCTTACATAACTATGCAGACTTTCAGTGCGACATGTACATATAAACATCATTTCTAAATAAATTGGCAATTTTTTAGAATTATTTTAATAATATATTTTAAAACTATATTATATCATGGACATGTGCATTTCATTAAGAAACTTACAAGGACACCAAAGGCATTAATTCATTATATTAGCTCAAGCAAGATCATTTGGTCTGAAAAAATAAATTTAGAGAACGAATGATCTAATGGTAATGGTGTAGTATTTAATACACATCTGAAGACAAACATTTTTTTTTTTTCATAGAATATTTAAAATATTGATTTTGAATTGGCCAAAATATAATGATCATTTTGCTGATAAAATATTTAGAAAACCATTATTTCCAAACTTTAAATTGTAATAAATAATAAAGAAATAAATTATAATTAAGCCTGAGAAATTATTAAAATTAAATCATACAGAATTAAAAAAAAAAAAAAGTTATGACCAAGTTTTAAATGAATTATATTCTTAACTAGATAATATTATAACTTAATTAAATTAACTATGAATAGTTACAAAACTGAAAAACAGAATTTTGGTAAAAGTTTATAAATTTGTTTCAGGTTTTTGAATGTATATAAAATTTAAAAGAAACTTATTGAAATTTCATTAAAATAAATATATGAGACTAACTAAAAATAAAAATAAAATAAATATTTAATTGAAATTTTTTCATTGGAAGACCACCAATGGATTCCATTGAATATTCTTATTAATTAATATATAAAATTTAATATAAAATAAACAAAAAAAAATTTTGATTTTGCTTAATTTACTTTGAAATTAGAATCATGGTGAAATATTTATGAATATCTGAACCATTAAAACAAAATTATATCTAACAATCATAAAAGATTTTAAAGAAAATAACATTTAATTTCTGAAGAAAGATGGGAAATATCTCTTACAGCTTATAAATTTATAAATAAAAAACATTTAATAACACAATTGTAAGTTGATATTCAGATCTTTGTCTATGATTCAATTAGCAGATACATACATAATTATATAATACAATATGTTTGTATTTTTAAATTTTACTTTATTCAAATAAACTTTAATATAAATTGTATTATATTAATGGTTTTTATAATATATTTTACAACCATCTCAAAAACATTAAAATAAAAACTGTCAAGTTGGTAGAACTTATGGCTTGGTTCAACCATTTTGTATTGGTTCAAACCTTTTCAGAAGAAAGGCTTCATGGAATTAAATTAATCTTGGTAATTAGCTGTTCTGAACATTGCTGTGATTTCTTCTGTAGTTTTATTTTTAGTTTCTGGAACCTTTTTAAATATGAAAATGATGAATAGGAACTGTATAATTGCGAATATCAAGAAAACATAGCTTCCAATGAGGTGCTAAAACAACAAAAGAAAGATATTTTAATGAATAATTTAAAAAAAGTGATCATTTCTATTAATCTTGAGCAAATATTATAAGATTGGTTTCATTCAACATTTTCTAAAGCTACTTGTAGACATTTCACAAATTATATGAAGCACAAATATTTAAATGGTTTTATTCCTATGTTAGTGTTTTTGATATTTTCCATCTGCTGTCGGTAACAAAATAAATTTTAAAAAGTTGGACTTAGCGTTAATGTCGCTATTTGTTAAGTTTGATAATTCTGTTTTCCATAGTTTGTGGAATGTCTTAACACACCTTAAAATAATAAATTTAATATATATAAAAAAAAATTGAACAATAATTTGTTGTGAAATAAAAATATTGTTGCCACCATATTAAAGTAACAAATGTGAGCCTGTTTAACATTGCACATTTATTACTTTAACATAATGGCGGTGATATCTAGGAAGCACTATTGATTAATATATATTCAGACATTTTACTTGATAAAATACTATTTGCATCCATTAATAACTCAAACCAAATTTTATTTTATTATCAATAGAACTATCTGAAAATTAGAATTGAAATTAAAATTAAAATTAGCATTGTAGTTAAAACTGACTCATTGATAGTAAATGTCTGAGAACTTTGAATATTGTATGTATAATTATTTTGTATTATCGATGTTAAAATACTTTTTAAATAATTTTAACAAGATATTATAAGTTAGCTTTGAGTCTTTGAGATATTTTAATTCCTCAGTTTAATTTTATTTGTAATTGTTGGCCCTTTTTTTTCTATTGTTATTTAAAGCAAAACTTATTTTGGTCAGAAAATAATTTAATCTAAATAATATGGTTGGGAAGTTAGTTGGAAATTACAGTCACAGTGAGAAACAAAAAAAAACAATATAAATTTTATTTTGTGCTGTTTTGGCCTAAGATTAAGGCTTTCATCAGGACAGAAGAAAAACAAGATAACAACCAAATGAAAATTATTAAAAACCTATTGGTAGGCAGTACAGACCCCTTTTTATCTAATTATTAACATCTATCTAAAATTTCATGAAAGGCTTAACAACTTTTTTATTTGCGAAAATTCACATAAAGATTGGGTGTTTTCAATCTGCAGATTGGTAAACTTTGTCTATTTAATGAGGGACTAAAAATTCATGAAAACCTATTTTCTTTCCACTTGAACCATAAGATAATTTGATTTCAATCATAATTAAGAAAAAAGGTGGCCTACAAAAGTGTTGGGCCGTTTAGCGTGACATTCACTCCCAACATGTTAAGATGACGAGGTCATATAGGCCAAATGGCCCTATAGTTTTGTAGGCCACTTTTTTTTCTCAAGTTTATGATCAAATTATCTTATAATTCAGGTGGAAAGCAAGTGGTTATTCATTAGTTTTTATTATCTCTTGAAAATAATTAGATTGATGAGAAAATACCCCATTTCTGGGAATTTTGTATATCAAAAAGTTATAGGTTACGCATAAGATGAAGTCATTTACAAAGTTTTAGACGGATGTTAATAATTTCATAAAAAATATGTCTGTACCGCGGACTATATTAAAAAGATATAAAAACAAAATATTAGTTATCTGGAAATAAATAAATTCTAAGATAAATGAATAGAAATTATATTGTGTAAGATAAATTGAAATAAAAATGTCGTATAAATATATTTTAAAAATTAAAATATTATCTTACATTAAGTAATTTTTATTCGTTTCTTAGAATTTATTTATTACCAGATAACGTATATTTGGTTTTCATATCTTTTCAATATGTTTGTAACAATTTTTGTTTGATTGTTATCTTGTCTTTCCTCAGCTCTGTTGAAGGCCAATATATATAAATTTTTTTTTTCACATTGTGACTACAACCCCCAACGAACTTCTCAACCAAAAACTCATTTTTTCTATGCTAAAATATATATTTATATTTATGAAAGATTAGCAAATTATTTGTATAAATTATTCTCATTTTTAATGATAAGTTATCTTAAATGCACATAATTTATAAATATATTTTCATTTTATATAGCACTCACCTCAAGCGGTAAAAATCCAATACCAACAATAAAATTGGCAGACCAGTTGACAGTTACAGCTACAGATGTTGCCACAGGGCGCGCTGCTTGCGTAAACAGCTCGGTCACAATAAACCAAGGAATAGAGCCTGGTCCGATGGAAAAGAAAAGTACGAAAAGCAGGACGGCTACTATCGAGAGGTAGGAAACAAATGCGATTTGCTGTAAAAATTAAGATAATAAATTATTCATATTATACTATACATGTATGTTAGCTTATACATCATGAAATTAAACTCATGAAAACTGTTCTAGAGGTACAACCAAACTTATTCTAAACAGAGTGGGAAGGTTGAGATTCATTCTGTGGGTTCGCACAAAATAAATTTCAACTCATCCAGGCCAGATTCGAACCGGCTTCACTGGAATCGGTATACATTTAAACTAAAATTTATTAGTTTTTCATTACTCTCCATTGCAACTTCTTATAATAAATATTAATTTTTGAAGTGAAAACTTCTTTAAGCACGTTTTGCACTTTTTTTATGGAGAATGAATTAGATTGAGCCCTCAGATTTCCGATGTGTACCACTCAGATAAAGTCAACTAATCAAAGTGTTTTTGCAAATGGATTAAAATATCATAAAAACTAAAAATCGGAGCTGTGTACTATAAGGGAGGAAAATGTTTGGAATTTCATCCTCTTTATAATGAGCTATTATTTATAATTTATATTTTATATTATTAATCTCGCCTTATTGATGTTTTCACTTCTATTGTGTGGTCTAAAGCACACAACTCTTATTTCTGGAAGTTTGTTTTAAATCTACAAAAATATTTCTCCAATTTTTTCCATCAGTTATTATTTCCTATAGTTATTAACGATTAAATTCTTTCATAGTTCATATTTATCCATATTTTCCCATGAGAGACCTTTAATTATTTATAATGATGTAGAGATGGTTGACCGTTGATTTAATATGAGAAGGAGTTGATTGGGTGGTGCGGTCAAATTAATACTAAATTAAACAAGTAGAATTATTTAATTTTTGCCGACGTTTGGACCCACTTTCCAGGTCTTCATCAGGCCATAGGATGTAGCACTGCGGTAGGCATTTGAAACACTGACTGAGTTTTTCAACTGATGAAGACCTGCAAAGTGGGTCTAAACGTCGGCAAAAATTAAATAATTCTACTTGTTTAATTTAGTATTAATTTGACCGCACCCTCCGATCAACTCCTTCTCATTTAATTATTTATAGTAAATAAAATTAAATGCACTTATGTAACTAATGCACTAACGTAACAGGCATATTTTGTTGTATATTCATGAAGTGATAACATTTACAATATATACCATCATGATTGAGTATTTTACTCTGTTAAATTTTGCTCTGACTAAGCGTCATTAGTTCTTACTCTAAAAATGATACTTTTTATATGTTCAACAAAACTTATCATTTGGTTTTTGATTCTATATTTTTCTCTTTTTACCTCTCTTACATGGCATCGCATTAAGATACAATTTTGAATAATAGCTCATTACAAAAGGAATGAAATGATGAACACATCTCTTGCTAACTATATGCAGGTCCGATTTTTAGTTTCTGAGATATTTTAATCCATATGCGAAAACACTTCAATTAGTCGACTCGAGCAAACATTACCCAAATGAATATTATATATCCGCGCGTGATGGTTCAGTCTCATTCACTACCCACAAAAAAAAAAAAAGAAAAGCTCGCCTAAAGAAATATTCACTTCAAAAAGTTTCTGTGACTTTCTAGGTATATCTTAAATAGATATTATCAATTTTGTAAGACTTTTTCTATTTTTGAGCTTGGCTGTTCACATACAGACAGACCCAAACACAGACATATTCAGAGAACCTTGAAACTCAAATTTGAAATTTTCCATGATCACAATACTTTCCCTTACAGTGCAACACAAAAAGTTCTTGAATATTAATAAACAGAAATAAGCAATTTTTAAATAGCAATTTTTTGTTGAATACTTATTTTTATAAATATAATGAAATGAAAAAATAATTTTATACTGGGACTAAAGTACCCTAAGAATAATAATAACATGGTACAAAACATTGGTCCTTTAGTCTAGTTTAACAAAATACAAAGAGGTCATTTGAATGTTAATTTCAATTGCTATCGCAATCATACCTGAACAACGATAGTAAATACTTTAACACTAGTACATTTTATATAGTTTTTACGTATACAAAAAAAAAGTAAATTAATAACATAAATAAATGAAATAAAATCAAATGAAACTTGTCGATTAATTGTTATTGAGCAGTTGTAATTACAGAATTCAATAAGTATTACATAGGTACGGAAGTTTGAAAATGAAGTAGATGGTGGAATAAGAGTTGTTTGAAGGAATTTAAGGATGAAGATTGTCGTATGGGGATGGGTAAAGAATTCCAGATGGAAGTAGCATGAATGACGAATGATTTTCTAAAGGATGAAGTTTTATGAGCATGGATATATAAATCAATAGGTCGAGATCTGGTATCAAGAGAGTGTATAGAGGAAGGTAGAGTTAGGAGTTCCATGATATAGGGAGGATTTTTGGTTATTAGGACCTAGATAAGGAAAACACCAAGATGAAATTGTCGTCAGGCAGTAGGATAGAGCCACTTCAAGTCGATATACCAGTGGGAAATATGAGAACGCCTGGAAATTCCAAAGATGAATCTTATAAAACAGTTCATAAGTCTCTTCAATTTCACCTGCAGTCTCTCAGGCAGCCCTCCATACACCAAGCAACTGTATTCGAAGTGGGGGAAAACGAGAGAGGTTACAAGGAACTGTCTGATGTTTTGAGGAATAGAATCACGGAATCTTAAGAGTTGTTTAAGGACAGTTATGAATTTTTGGGTTATCTGGGAAAAATGGTTATTCCAGGAAAGATTCTGATCAAAGATAGCTCATAGATTTTTGACTGTTGTGAAAAAATGGATGGAGTGGTTATTGAGGTAGAGTAGAAGAGAGTAAGGAAGGGAATTAATGAGATGCCTGGAACCGATGAGAATAGCTTTAGTTTTATCTGTTTTCAGATTTATCTTATTTATTTCTGCCCATCTGTTGATGCAACCAATATCCTCTTGTAGCTTTTGAGTAGCCTCAGACATCTTAGAAGGGAGGAAAGATTGGTAAATTTGTAAATCATCGGCATATAAGTGGAAACAAAAGTGATTAATGGAGTCAGAAAGATCACTAATATAAAGAGAGAAAAGGGTCGGAGAGAATGAGGAGTCCTGAGGAACACCTTTTGTTAATTGGAGGGGTGATGATGGAGATTTATTTAGAATGACAACTGTGTGTGAGATAAGAAAGAGTGGTGATATAACAGTGCAAGAAATATGAAAAATATATACTAACCGTGTTCAAAAGACAGAATACAAGAAGAAGTGTTGACAATAACATGCCGATGAAACCAACCAACAACAAAGTCTTCCTTCCTGCCTTCTCTACGAGTACAAGAGATACAACGGTCATTGCTACGTTCATCGCTCCCATGCTGAGTGTTGCGTACTGTGCAGAAGTCTCCGACAGCTGAGCAGACTTGAATATATTTGTTGAATAGTACATGGCCTGAAAATAATCAATTCTAGTCAAATAAAGTTGAAAATAATTTAATTTTTATATCAGAGATAAAAATCAGTTTCAATGAGAATAATTTAGAAATGGGTTTAAATATGTTCGTCTGATAATTTGTAATTAAACTAGTTGAGTAACAGGTACACAGAAATGCAATACACATAAAGGATCAGATATTTGCAGTCACAACTCGGAAACAGTTACAACTATTGACCTTGTGGATCTAATCAGATTTCCAAATTAAAATTCATCGTTCCTTGTTTTTACTGGGAAAATTTTCTCACTCCAAACCCTCAGCCTCCTCCATCTTGTTTCCCACGATTGAATTTTCCATTTAATATTCCTTTATCCAGGTACTTTCCTGGCCCCTGAATCTATTCATATACCCCTCTTTATTAAATATTATAATTTTATTACAAAAATATTAATTTTAATACTTTATCAGACCTCAAAATCGACTTATCTGATAATTTTTAAAAATATTATTCTGTTATCATGAATATTTTACTTATTTATTATAATATATAAATAAGAAAAAAATGATAAATTAAAATTAACTGGTTGAACAAGAATTACCTCTGTAATTTTACTTTTTTTATTTAATCTAGGAAGCATGTTAGCTTAGTGGATAAGCACTGACTTCCAAATCTCAAGGTTTGGTTTAAAAATCTGGCTAATGATTAGTAATTTTTCATCAGACTGGGGTCGTGAGACCCTCTGGGGCATAGCCAGTTTCTATAAAGTTAGTACTCTTAATTAAAATAATTAATTAAGAGGGGAAACCTGACAGTTGAGTGTGATCCTGGCCCAATCACCTCTCTGCACAACCCATGAACTTGAAAAAGTACTGAATTCTTAAAAAAAAACTTATTTTTTTTAATCTTGAATATAGAAAATCTTCAGTTTACAATCACTAATTGTGGGTAGGCACGCATACATTTGATTTGAAATTTCATCAAGTAGGATATAGTTCGAGAGTCATTCAGAAAATAAATAAAATCTGACTGACCAAAAGGGAAATCACAAAAATTGTGTTGGAAACGCTGGTCAAAACATAGGGACTGGATAAATAATTAGTAATTATTTCATGTTTTTTCTGAATGACTCTCTAATTATCGTCTTCTTGAATTATCAGTCAATCATCTAAACATATAAAAGATATTTATAAAACTTTGTTTAAACTAAATGAACAAGTATGAATATGATGCGACTAAATTTAGGATTATGTTTTATATGTTAAGGAGTTCACTTACAGCATTGATTCCAGAAAGCTGCTGTGCAAGCATCAGAGCTACGGAGATGAAAAGAGGTGCTCTTAAGCTGGGATCTCTCAGGATTTGGCGCAAGGAAATCTTCTCTCCTCCTTCGCTTTTCATCGCTTCTATCTCATCGTGAACATCCAAGTCTCCTCTCAGCCAAGTAAGAACTATGAACATACAATTTTTTTCCTTTTCAATTTAATGCAATATTAAGGTTTACTTATATCATATCGCCTATTTATAATATCTAATTAAATGTTAATCAGATTTATGAAAGCCATAAACATATTATCAGTATCCACGCATTCTTCACCTATGATAAAGCATATTATGCATGTTTGGAAGTAGTTGTAAAATTCCAACTATGCTTGAGCGCCCTCGGTGTTTCCTAAACCGTATTTCTCTTTTAATTAATTATCAACTACTTTAGTAGTTCATAATTAACCATTTTTTGTTAATAGTAATCAATTGAAATGATTAATTTTTATAAATAAACAAAATTAAAGGTTCCTTAGAGGAAGAAATGTTTAAAATTCAGCATTTAAACCCTGTCGGAATATTTTAATAAGAATAAAATTAGATGAATCAAAATCTTTATAGCATTTTTGAGAATAATATAAAAGTGTGTAAATTCGGTGAGGTATTGTGTCACTTTCAGTTAGTTGATTTTAGCAAAAACGTTGCTGTAAAATACCAAGTATGCACTTATTTTAAATACATAATTTCAGTTTAATATGACTTTTCTTTTTCGAGCTAGGCAGTTCAGATACACCTATATAAACATAGATAAATTTGTGAAACTTACTTGGCCTCAAAATGATTTCGATGTTTTTAAAACAAATGGAACGGATTATAGAATAAGGTTCTGTTAATTTTTATTTTGGGTCCTTTTTTTATTTAATGATAAGTAAAAATATCAGTTTTGGCAATAATGAAACTGTTCCAAAATTAGTTGGGCGTTATTCAAATTTCAAATATAGATTATTTTTCAAGTTTTTAATATCAGAAGGAGTTAGTCAGGGGTGCGGTCATTAAATATTGTAATTATTTTATTTTAATTTTGACGTCGTTTCGACCCACTTGCAAGTCTTCAGGGCGTAGGATGTAGCAAAAAATTTTTTAATATCATTACATATTAAACTCAAAAATGAATTTTGAATCAGTATTTTGCTATTAGGTATCAGTAAGTTATTATGTGAGCACATTATTTTAAATAAGTTATTTAAAATAATCATTTTCCATCAAATATTTAAAAAAATACTCATAATGATTATTATAATTTCTTTGTTTCTTTGTAGTATATAATACAATCTATAAAGGGAAAAATAAAACAGCAACAATACATGTGACCAAGGACAAACAAAAACAAGAAATCAAAACCAAAACAACTGTTATTATTCTTTTAAGAAAAGTGTGTTACCGTGATATTGATATGTAAAGAGGATAAATGAAAGGAGATAGATGATATAAGTGTAAAAGAGGAGTATGGATAGGAGAGTAGGAAAGTGATCAACTTCAGAGAACATAGCTTAAAAAGATTGAGAGCATTTTTAACAAAACCTATTATTACCTGAATTCAATAATAAGACACCTACCTAAAAATGTTTAACTTAAAAAAAAATTGGCCAAAAACAAATTTAAATCGCTTCAATATTGAAATTTGGCTGTTTTGACTAATGAATTTGCTGACTACTGCATTAGCCAATTTGTTACCTACCTTGCTTAGCTTTCAACTCGTTTCCTGTACTTTGGAGGACATGTTTGGGCGACTCAGGGCACATCGGGAGAGTGACGAGCTGTAGAACTGCCGGGACTACAGTCAGCGCCAACAGAATAGGCCACAGCGACTCGCTCCCGAGGACAGCCGCTAGGCCGAGGACCTGTGATAGCGCAATGCTGATGGTAATTACCAGCTGGTACACCGTCCCCAGCTGAAACAGAATTGGTTTCATTATAGTAAAGCCTAGATGGAGAATGTCTATAATAAAATTCAATTAAAACCTAATTAATATTTTACCAATGAATCAAACAATCCAAATGATAATTGAGGCATTGAATTTCTTTTTTTTTTTTTCTTCAGTTGGTATTATATACCAGACCTGGGTAAAAAGTATTTTACTTATTTCAAAATACATAATACAAAATACCAAGAATTTTGTGTTCTTAAAATATAGTATATTTTAATTATAAAGTATTAAATTGTTTCTAGAAAACAAATTTTGATTAATTAATTACAAAAAACAAAATACAAATACAAAATACTTTCTGGTGAACAATCAGCAAATACAAGAAACCTACTCTATTTTTAATTTATTTTGTGTATTTAAAATGTAAAATAAAATAATTTTTTTTGTATTCTGTATTTAAAAAAAAAAATACAGTTACAAACAATCTATTTTATATATTACTTCTTAAAATGTAAAATACAAAAAATGTATTTTATTTTGTGTTTTAAAATAATATATTTGAAATACAGCCTAAATCTGTTACAGACAGTAAATATTTTGCCACTTTAACGAGCCTTCTCTGTTTATGCCTATCTTGGGCAATTTCTTTCCAGTTCGGGATATTGGTCTTTTGCCTATTAGTGAGATATTCATTGTGTAGATGCTACTTGTTGGATCACTACGAGCTACATCTTACTGCCTTGCCTTCAAATCATGAGATATTGATTGACCAGTTTCTGTAAACAATTCTTATCGGTCCTTCTCCTCTATGTCTTTGTATCCAGATCAGATCACTCCAGTTATTGTGTGGAGGATTTAGATTATTCAAATTTCTTTCTACGGTGCGGGTTACTCTCCAAGTCTTGCAGTCATATAATAGAACTGGCTTTATCATAGCACTCTGCAGCGTTAATTTGATATTTTTAGAGAATCTTCAGGATATCAGTAACTTTGAAAGAGAGAGATAAAGCTCTGTTTGCGCTTGCTATATGCTGGTCTCCACATGAACTCTGACTGTTGGTCATTCATTGAGGTTATTGTGGATTCGAGTTATTTGAATTTCTCAACTCCATGGAACAGTTTCTGTTTTATGTTGATATTCTTGTTGCAGTGATATTTTTGGCTTTCTATCATATATTTTGTTATTCATTTACTTGTAGCCTGATTCACTCAGCTTCTCTTATCAGAGTCTTAGCAAGTCTCTTAATGCCCTTTTCATTGCTTTCGAAGACAGCTATATCATCTGCGTATAACAAAGACTTTATGAAATTTTTTAATTTATTTTTATATTATTTATTTATTTTTTATTAGGATTGCAATCCATAAAAATTCACTTTACTTATGAGTCATAATAAAAAGGCAAAAACAAATAATAAAAAATGAACAGATTAAGAATAAAATTTATATTATTGGATTAGCAAATAAGTCCTTTCGGTTTTTCTGTTTATTTTTATGTCACTATGATACACTTCTTATCTGATGAATTAATCCCTAAGGTGGATTGTTTATCCTGTTTGTAATATGTCAACAACTATATCTGTTAACTCTTGTTGAAACTAGCTTAGTATTGTGTTTGCTATTGCACTGTGAATATGGAAGAAAATATCATTCATTATCGGCATATTTTGTTGTATTATTTTAAAAAATGTAAGCGTGCTGCAGAAGCTCATAGAAAAATTTGCAGTGTTTATGGATGATGCCTTAACCGAAAGCACCTGTCAAAATTGGTTTGCCAAATTTCATTCAGGAAATTTTGACATCAATGATGCTCAACGGTCTGGTTGCCCACATGAAATTGAAACGAGCAATGTTAAGGCCATTGTTGATCAAAATCCCATCCAATCAGTGCGAGAGATTGCTATGGCCCTAAATGTGTCGCACACAAGCGTAGAAAACCATTTGCACAAGCTCGGCTATGTTTCCAGGCTTAATGTTTGGGTCCCTCACATGATTTTTTTTTCGAAAATCACAAAAAATGTTATAACTTCAATACGACTTTAGCTATCTACAAGAAATTTAGCAGGAATTTAGGGGCACATAAACTACACAAAATTACATCAACCTTCGTAAACAAACTACAAATGGAGATAAAAAATAAAAACCTATAAGCAGTTTTTGTTTATTTATTCCTTATGTAGGCATTAAATAAAAAAAAAAACAACCTGAAGAGTTATGAATGGTCGGAAGGGTGTTGTGTTCCATCAAGACAACGCTAGACCTCACACCTCATTAGTCACTCGCAATAAATTATTGAGCCTTGGATGGGACCAGGGACCTAGATACAAGTGACTACCACTTATTCCGGTCTCTGCAGAACACCATGAATGGAAATAAATTCCAAAAGGAAGACCACATCAAAAACCACTTGGATCAGTTTTTTAATGATAAACTCCAGACATTCTATGAACATGGCATTATGCAGTTAGTGGAAAAATGGAAAAAAGTCATATTAAATAATAGTCAATATATTGTAGATTATAATAAATTTTATGTCTATAATACATTGAGTTTTATTTCACCTTGAAAAACCGAAAGGACTTATTTCCTAACCCAATACTAGCAATGAGAAATGCTATCACCTAATGCTAGTCTAGAACAAAAACTGTTAAAAAGTTTCATTTATATTATGAAAATTTCAACATTGAAGGTGAAATGCAGCTCTTACTAAGCTGGATGAATTTGGTTCAAAATTCACATCTCGCATACTTCTCATTTGTTTTTTGTATTTAATCTATTTCAATTTAAAATTTGTAACATTTCTGGTGTATGTTTCAAATATTATACTATAATCTTTCTGTATAAATTAAAAATATTATATGACTCTGGAGACAGTTTTCTTCTATATATAAATGCATTTATATGCAATGCGTATAACATTAAATATCAACTTACTGCACCACGAAGGCTCACTGGTGATATTTCAGTAAGATATACTGGCGCAAGACCAGCGTTCAACCCTGCATTGATGCCGATAAAAAATCTTCCAAGAATGAGAAGCTCGTAGGATGCAATCAGCTTTGAACAACCTAAAAATAAAAATAAATAAATGTTATATGTTATTTCAATCTTCTAATGTTTAAACAAAAACATTTAAAAGTATTTACCACCATTTATTTTAACAGCTATAAGAGAATTTTTAAAAATTTATATAACTGATTAAGCAACAATTTTTACATGGTTTTTAATTTTATTTTTTTTACTTTCCTATCCATACTAGGTAAGGAAAGTATTGCGATTGGATCAAATTTCCAATATGAGGTTTTCTACGAATCTATATGTTTCAGAGTCCCCTGGGTCCAAAAAATACATTTTTAGCCATTGGTCTGTCTGTGCCAAGATTTTCTCGGGAACTAGTGAACTTATTTTGTTGCTTCTTTTTTTATTTTGTAGGGTTTTGACTACTGATGCCTGTGACACAAATTGGGTGCTCCATGCGCAATAGCTGCTGTGCAATAAATGAAAAACATGTTTTTCTATAGACTGTAGCGCGAAAACGGCTCTAACGGTTTTGATGAAACTTTTCTATAATGTTCTAATAATTGTCCTTTCAATTTTCATGTATGGAATAAATTCCTGAGAAAATTGAGGAAAAAATTAATAAAGAAAAGAAAAATGTTTTGGGGCCTAACTCGCTAAGTATATATTCTATGGTATAAATCGTTCATTTCAGACAATTATTAACAAAGTTACTACTCAATTTCCAATGTAAGATTACGGGTTCGTATCTGTGTGTCAGAAAGAGGTAAATAAGAGAAAAAAGATAACCAAGTGAAAGTAAAAAAATCTGTAGCCCGCATCACACAAGCTTCACTATTTCCTCTACTTTTAACAGAAATTATTGTTTGACAAAATTAGGCTTTGGCAAAAAGTTTTTGATCAGCAATATTAGAGGGTATTGAAAATTTTACACTGATCTACCTTAAGCCAGTTTACATTGCTTTAGTTTATCAAATAAATCATACTCAAATATTTTCTTTGATCAATTTCAGGAAAATAAATCTAATTCAATTTTTTTTTTTTTTTTTTTTTTTTTTTTTATTGATGGATATATGGAAAGATATAAAAACGTTTCTGAAATAGGTAGCAAAGTCGTGTGAGTGGACACACCAGATTTTTATATAAAATAATTTTTGACTTGTTCTCCATCCAATTTTATGTAACAAATTATGATTTTAAAAAATCTATTAAATAAGTATTCAATTATTAATATTCCTCACAACAAAAATTTTAATTAAAGAAATTTAAATGCATTTAAGAAATATAAAAGCACTTATAATATAAACACGAAATCGGATAGAAATGTTGTTCATTTATTTTTGGGTGGACTTAGATACAATAAGAAATTTTGAGAATTTCATCTACAGTGTGATCGCGTCAGCTTATTCTAATATGCCATATGGTTGTGTACTCTGTAAGTACCTAAGAAATAATTATACTATATAATACTATACTATACTTAAATAATAAATACTCACCCATACATATCGCTGCTATTACAACTAAAATGTTGTTATATAACAAGGCCCCTTTCCTACCAAACTTGTCAGCGACTATTCCGACGGTACAGCCACCGATCATTCCTCCTACACAGAATATGGAAACTGCTATCGACCATATCATTGTCACCTAATAACACCATAATTTTGTATTTTTTTACATCTGATATATTTTAACAAATAAATTATTTATTAGGAATACCTGGTGAATATTAAAACAGTTTTTATTCTTTAATAAATAAATAAAATATGAAGGACAAATCTTCTATTTAAGTGATTTATTTTTTGAATGAATAGTTGGTCAGGGGGTGCAGTCAACAATCACATACTATTTTGGTTTAATACATTGGTTATCTGTGTTTGACCTATGTTGTAGATTTTAATCAGGACTTGGTCCAACAATGACAGTTTATTTATTTAATTACAAATGTAATATTGAGCTCTGTTGATAATTACACTTCGTCATTTGTCTTATTTATGTTATTTTGTTTTTCTTCTTAATCATTTAGATTAATTGATACTACACTTTGCAACTGTTCCTTCACTTATATATGTGGTACAAGATCTCATGACCACACTATAAATAAAATTCCAAGAATGGCCGCCAAAGGTGATCGAAATCTTCGGTAAGAGTTCAATCTCAATTTTATTCCATCCTCCCTTGCCAATATGCCCTATCATTCTTTGCCTTCAGGAGAATGGCTTGTATCTTGGCAGCAGCCATCCTTATCTTCTTTCCCCCGCACCATATCGTGACTAGGCCAACATATTGCTGTGCTTCTCTTTTGACTTCAGCTCTATACTGTTGGAGGCCACCATAGTAGCTAGGTCTTCAACTTATGCAGTGACAGGGAACTGCTTCTCCTCTAAAATCTCAACTGAAAAGAACCCAATTGAAGACTTTTTTATCCATGTTAAGCAAGTGGAAGTCGATATTAGCGACTTAATTGAAACTAATTAATGCGACATTTTAACTGAAAAGTTAAAATCAACCATTTGATAGTTTATGGAAGTCGTAAATTGAGATCTAAGTAATGAGAGGTGAACACGTCAACAATAATCAGCTGTTCTCAAAATTCCATTTATAGTCTGATTATGACTTGGCCCAATTTTCAGAGTGGAGCAACTGTTGTAAGTAGTAGATTTTAATTAACTTAAAATTCTGCCTAAGTGTGCTCCCTATTAAAATTTAAAGCAATATTTCCAAATTCTATTACTATAATAATAAAAGGCTTAGTGAACCCAAAGGTTCGATGCCGATAGCACCAATCGGTATTTATTACAGTTCAGATGCTATCAATACTGAAATGAATTAAATTGTAGTATGGTCCTGATATTAGAGCGAAACCCCAAAATAATGACTGTGGTGGCTATTTTAAAGTTTTTAAAAATTAAAAACAATTTAATAATTTGTGCTTGGTGCTTCCAATTTTATTCATTTATCAAACAAATTTATTATTATTATTACTACTATTATATTTTGGAAAAAGTTGTAGCAATAACAATTTCAATTTATCAATTATATCAGTATGATGGGTGCTTAAACTCCTGTATAATTTTCAAGAGTAATATCTGTAAAACAATTTAATAATTTGTGCTTTTTGCTTCAAATTTTATTTATTTATCAACACAATTTATTATGACAATGCCTTTGTATACTAAAATTCAATAAATAAATAAAATATATAAAATTTGGCTTACAGTCGCAGAAGAGGTTGGCTCGCCGCTTCTCTCTGTCTTTACAGTAGAAATCCATTGTGATATCAGCTGAAAAATATATATTATAATTAGTTTATAGAATATATTACCTATTTAAAAATTATATGTAAAATTAACTTAACAACCATTAAGTCGACAAAAATAACAATTTTCAACTCACATCTTGAGGAGCATTTATAACACCTGTGTTGTAGCCATGTTGAAAAGCTGATCCAAAAGCTGCTGCGGCTACAGCAAACACCAATCTGCTTGTCAGCTCCTAAAATAAAAATAAATAATTTTGTTAGTTTAAACTCGTCTACTAATATCTATTATCTATTATATAAGTTATAGTTCAGTAAATTTCATTTTTAAAGAATAGTCATTTTTTTTTTATGAACTAGTAAAATAACAGATGACCTGATGAGAGTTTTATTACAATAGTTATTTCTATTCAAGCCTATTGTTTGTTTTTTCTAAATTCAATCTATCTCAAAAATTGAGTGGGAGTATAGATGCCGGCATGAGGGAGAGAGAGAAAGACTCTTCTGTTCCCATCCCAATAGTTTTTCAAGGGGAGAAGGCATCCCCTCCCCTCAAATATTTACTTAAAAAAACTCACAGAAAGTTCAATGAACCGTTAGTTAAAGTTAGGGCGAACAAGTTTATGTATGATTGGAAGATTCTTACAAGTTCGGAGTGGAGGAATGCTCTGAAATTAAGAATTAACTATGCTCCTCTTCGTGGAGTCCAGGGACCGGAGAGCAGGTGTATAGAGATGTTGGATCCCTCTGATGCAAATGCGAATAAGAGTCAGAAAACTCAACTCATTTACTGAGCAAATGTCCGAATAGGATGCTCCTTGTTACCCGCATGCAAAATACTATAAAGCATCGAATTGCTGAATTTCTGGAGGCGGAAAAGTATAGATGTTTCCTTGAAGTATATTGCATAGATACGGAAGTCTCAGCGAGATTTGTAGATATCTTAGCCATTAGTGCGAAAGGAACAGAGGCTCCGATAGTTGATTTTACAGTTCAATTTGATACCAATGATGTGGCTCAAGATATTAATTCCACTTTCAACTGCTGAGTTTTTAGAAAAGCTGATTAGTTTCTTTCATTTTTTTCCAACATCATTATCATTATATATATATGAAAAAAAAAAGCTTTTGGGCTGAAGCACTCCTCAAAATTAGATCCTGAATCTGCTATTGCTGATTTGTATGTTAGTATGTCCGCATAAATTATTGTGAAATCGTTTGTAAAAAATTCTTATGCATTGGTCAACTGTAGGTAGGAGGAAGTCTGTATGTAAAGTTTTGTTTGTCACGTATAAAGATGCTTTAGTTATAAGTTGTAATATTTTTGATTGAAAATTTTGAAGTTTCTGTAAGTGAGTCTTTTTAGCTATACCATATATCTGCGAGGAGTTAGTCCATATTGGTTTAAGTAAGTATAGGTATGTATTTAGTTTCTGTCTCAGTTCTAGTTTTGAAGATTTGGAAAAAAGTGAGTAAAGTAGTTTGAGTTGTCTATTTTGAGTTTTCCGTTTCATTTTATCATGCCATCCTTCTGTCAAAGGTAAGACCAAGGTAGTGTATGCTGTCCGTGTGAGGAGTTTGGTTGTTTTTGATAAAAATTGAAGGGCAGATATTTCTTCGAAGTGTAAATGTAATGTGTTTCGATTTATCGTGGTGAAATTTCCCATGATTTGTACCAGTCTTGTAATTTATCTAAATGATGTAACGTCAGTGAGGTGTGTGTAGGGTCATGATGTTTTGTGAGAATTGTTGTGTCGTCAGCATAAGTAGCAGTAAATGTCTTATTGTTAATAGGTATGTCATAAGTGTATACAATATATAGTAGTGGAACCCTGCTGAACTAAGAAAAATCTATCGAAAACGAAAGATTGAAGAATCAGGAAGTATGTATGAGGGTATGAAAAGGAGCCATCTGCAGAATGTGGCAGAATTTATTATTTTAGACTCAGGAATTCCACATCATCATCTGTATTAATTCTGTAATAATTAAGTCACTTCCTCATGAGCTTTACGGACAGCTGGAAGAAGGAATACAATTATATTAATGAATAAATAAAGTACAACATTCTGTACTTAAGATGATGTTATGCTAGGTCATTTATCAACTTAATACAGTTGAACAGCTGTACAGTTTTATTGTGCTTCTAATATAATATTGTACATAATAAATTTATGGCTTTTTTTTCTTTTTTCCCCTACCTCGCCTTTTCGGAGTGTTTTTCTCTGGCCAGGGGAGAAGAGGTAGAGATTAATACCAGTGTATATATATGCCAAAGGACTCAAATTTGTAATATTCAGGTAATCAGGTTGCCAAGCAAGGTTACAATTTGGTAGCCAGCTCAGTCACAAGCTCTAAGAGAGTGTGAGTTTAAACAATTCGTTATGTAGATCCCGCCACAACACTAGCGGATCCAGGATTTAATTTTGGGTGGGGGCTTCAAGCCGAAAGCGTTTTTTTCATCAAAATAATGATAATTACTTTGGAAAAAAAGAAAGAAACTAACTACCTATATGAAATGGTGTTTAAATTATTCCTAAAGTCTTTTTAAATGTAATTACACGAACAATAATACTTTAAGAGATAATTTTTAAATATTTTTTTTCCATAAAACATGGTTATATTTTACCATTTTGGGGAGAGAGGGGGGCTTCAGCCCCAAAGCCTACCTCCCCCCCTCCCCGTAGATCCGCCTGTGCCACTATCTACAAACAGGAACGGATCCACAGGAAGTGAAAAAGGGGAAATTTTCCCTCTTACAGTATAGCTACTATTAATAGTGCCCGATAATAACTGGGAATAAATTATCATTCATTAGATAGAGGAATAAAAAATTGGCACGTGCTGTGAACATCAATGAAATATTAATTACGTTATTTAGAGCTATGACAATCGATTGTAAATAATTTTAAATATTTGGATAGTCGATTTATTGTAACTTTTCTGATAAACAAGGTAATATTTCTGCCAAATTCTTTATTGATCCTGATAGTTACCCTCCCATAAATTACCTCTGGATTCGTCAACCCTCTCGAATCGACCATTAACCTATTTCCTTATACATAATCAAGGGGTCGGGGTGGCCGAGCAAACTAAACCACTTGCACGAAGACCTCAATACAAATAAATTATTTAAAATTTGATGGGGTAAAATAGCTGACGTTACATTGATTCTTTGTAAGCAAATTGCAAGAGTTGTTGTTTTTTTGTCTTCAGTAAAAAATATTTCTTTCTACTTTTTGGTTGTTTTAACTTTAATTCAGTCAATGATACGAGTTAATATTATCTTTTGATAATAAATATCGAAATGAATAACCTAAAATGCTTAAATAAAATGTTTTATTTTATTTGAGGTGGGGATTTAATCTTCTTTATTTCATTATAAAATTAATATGAGAAGGAGTTAATTGGGGGTGCGGTCAAATAAATACTAAGTTAAAATATAATAATTATTTGATTTTGTATTTATTTGACCGCACTCCCCAATTAACTCCTTCTCATATTATATCAACGGTCAACCATCTCTACATCATTAAAATTAATATCATATGCCATTTGAATTATAAATGGTTTTCTAGTTATGGGTAAAAAAATATTATTTTTTGTTTACTTATGAAAAAAATAATAGTTTTTTATACTCTTTTAATCTCTGTTGAAAAATTGGGGATTTGAAAGTGACGCTATTTGACTTTGATCCGGACGATACGAAACATTCACAACACTCTGGGGCAAGTTTCATTAAAATTACATCATCTTCAAAACAAAAATAGGAAATAATAGAACGTAATTGTTGTTTCGATAAAATTCCAACAGAGGTTGACTTGTTGGGAAAATGGCGTCTGCCAACATCTTATGTGTGAAAATTCGACAAATGGCATAGAACATTAGAGAGGAATTTTAAATTCATATATAGAACAAGGCTGAGGAATTAAAAAGATATGAACACGAAATATATGTTATCTGCTAATAAATATAACAAGCGTTTAGACATTTCATAAACTATGAGAAACACATATATTTAATTTTTTTTTTTCGTTTCTTGTTTTTGATGTTTCGAACTCTTGTCGATAATAAGAGAAGTAGAAAAAAAAAGTTGGATATAGCACTTATGTCGATAATAGTTAAGTTGGATAATAGTTTGTGAAATGTCTAAACGCACCTTAACAAGTCAATAAAAATTACTTCGAGTAAGATTTCTTAGAACTTATTTATTACCCGATAACATATATATATATATATATATATATATATATATATATTGTTTTCATATATTTTTGTAATGATTTGTATTTGGTTATTATCTTATCATTCCTCAGGTCTGAAACTTAGGCCGAAACGTCAGAAAAAAACAATATTTTTTTTATCAAATCTTCAAAACATTTAATGGCATTTATAATTAATAAAATTTATAATTTCGATGAAAATCGCTTTATTTAAGCCCTATACCTTCACACCATACTTCAATTCATTTTAATTTTCTCGACGACGTTTCAGTCAATTTTGCCCATTTTCAAGTCGAAATATTTATATCATTATCCTATCATCTATTTAATATTATTATTTTTTTTTCACATAGTTATTATAAACTTTTTTCTTCTCACATTCTTCTAATTATAAATTTCATAACTTATTTAAGAAAAGTCAATTTATTTTATAAATTACTTGTACAAGGCTATTGTAGTAAAATTTTTTTTACTATTTAGAATTTTTATTCGAGTAGAAATATTTTATGTTAATAATAATATGTAAAAAATATATATATTTTTTAAAATCTCCATAATTTAAAAATACACATATATGTTATGGCAGTCGGCCACAGGCAAACTTCTTAAAGTATGAGGAAGAAAATGTTTAACATTTGAGGTAAATTAAAAAAAAAATGTTTAATTTGTTGACGGTCCATAGGTAATTTATAAAATAAAGTGAATTTTCATAAGTTATGAAATTTATAATTAGAAGAATGTGAGGAGAAGAAAAAATAGAAAAAAATTACAATCTACTCGTAATTATATATTTATAAAAAAATAATAATAATGAAAGGAGGGATAGTTGGGGAGATCAGTCCCAAATATTTTGAAGAACAAATATAAAATACAAATCAAGAAATAGGAAAATATGACCAGATGGCTAAAAGTTGAGGGCTAAAATCAAGTACGTATTTCACCATATGTTCTTATTATTTAAATTTTATTTTATATTAAAAAACGCTGCAAATTATTTCACAATGGTTTATTATTTC